AACTATTATGAATTACTTACTATCAGTGCCCAAGTTTTACACATGTATTGATTATGTTGCTTTCTTGTCCAAATCATTTTTGCAAAGAATGAAGGTACTACCCGTACATAGGCAATAGAGCGAATTTTCTGGTTTACTCAAAGTAATCGTTAAGGGAATCTTCCCTATGAAGATTAACCAAACACATGACCAAGAAAGTAGAAAAGAATTCTTCTGTATCGGTTTACAACCATAATTCAAATGGGATCTCAAATAATTGCCAACAGTTAAAGGAAATCGATCCAAAGAGTTGTATGCTCGTAAGCTGCAACTTATATTTACCACACAATCAGTTGTGGCTGAGAAAATGAGAGATGAATTACCTAGCAACTGTATCTATTTATTTAACTGCTCATTTGGAGCCAAATGTATTGGCCGTTGCTGCATAAACCTATTTTTTCTTGCGTTGGAGAATCGTTCTCTGCCTAGTATCGAATAACACTTTAAACGGGCGAGGCTATTGCAATTCGCCTAAAACCGGAGATATGCGTGCAGAGAAGCAGCTCCAGCCTTCTACTAAGCCTATAGACTCATAAATTTTGTTTTACTTCCCCTAATTTATGTGATATTTAGTTAAGTGTTATGTTAATCCATATTTATCTTATAGGCTATTGGTGGATAAATTCTCACGTACTACCTTTCCCGCCAAACAAGAGGATAGTTTGGTAGAGGGAATGGACCATAGACAGGATGGTTTCATCGCTGTGTTTTCCTTATGATTTTTGTTTGCCACATACATGAATAGAAAGTGGCATCCATTGGATCTCACCTCATTATAAGCTTCACTATCAAGCCATTTTTTTCAGTTTTTATATTCTTTTGTATTTCTTTTATCAATGTTTTATGTTATATCCTTATTGCAGTCTTCCCTTACTAGTCAAAAGGATTCACCCCGAAGATGTATTGCTCTGCACTTATTAGAACCACCTCTGAATCGTTGCCGGATCGAAGACCGGTTGGTGTTCTTGAGAGAGAAGTATAGACTGAGAAAGAGCCGACACTCTGTGCTGAATAGCAATAGCAAACAATCAGGACTTTCACCATCCTTTTTATCTTTGTAAGTAGTCTAAATATAACTGATTTGATGACATATATTCTCAAGCTGAAACACTATTTGATCTGCTGAGAACATTAGGGAACTTAGTAATTTCATTTGGCATTTTACTAGTATCATCGATTTCCGAGATAAACAGAAATTATCCAGTTAGATAGCACTATAAATTTCTGTTTATTTCCACTAAATTATCGTTCAGTTACGACAAAATGACACTGAAAATATTAACTAAAATTTTGAAGCTTAGTTACTGATATGTATCCACATATATATATTTATGTGTGTGTGTATGTTGGTCTCTCTTTCTATTTGCTCGCTTAGTCTGTGACCATTTCACTGGTATGAGCTTGTCTCCTTTAACAATGTATATTCCACTTATATTATATATAATATGAGTGTTTGTTAACAGTCCGTCGCTTAGTGACATATATCCATATATGGTTGTTTGACATGTCTGCTATATATATTTTGTTATATATATATTTCGTTCACACATTTTGTGTGAACTACTTTACACTACTTTACTTACTTACCACTTGGTGTGAGACCATTTATTTTCGTCTCCTTGTGTTTGGACAATAAAAGTATCATCGCAAACCTAGTGGTCTTCTGATTTCCGCCTTCTCGCGTCAGGACTATTAGTTTCTCGACCAGACCATAACAATAATTTAGCGACGAGTACATAACAATTTGGCGACGGGGAAAACTAGTACATAACAGTTACACATTACTATTATTATTATTATTATTATTCAGTTAATGATGGCTAACCGTGGAATCCAAAATGCGCATTTTGTCTTATCTGAGACTCGTCAAATGCGGTAACTCGCATCCGCAATAAATAATGATGTTCTCACAGAAACGATAAAGTGCTATCCAACAGTTTACAGAAGTACCGAAATTCGATCTTTACGTCCAAAAGTAAATGATATTCCGTAATCAGATAAGCTAGTGAACTAATCTAAAGAACAATTAAATAACGAGACTCTTTTTCGAGGAAATTTATGCACACATTCCTTTTGTAGCCATTATAATGTGCTTAGACTATATTCTGTCAGCGAATTTTTGCAATGTAATTGCCAATTTCTGAGACCTTCCACCTCAGTAAGTCTAACTATACAGTGGTAGCACTTCTGATTGAAGCACTGAGTAAAGTAGGTACGAAACTCAGAGAAGATATTAGTTCAATCACTGTTGAAAGAACACCCTGATAACGACTGTCAACAAACGCGAAACTTAGAGTGCCAGGCTTCCTATTGTTTGCCACTGATCATCTAAAGTTCAAATTTCCTTTCATAAACCTGAAAACAAAAAGAATAAACCTTCAAGTGGGATGAGTGGGGTCATTGTATCCCATTAGATTTCTTTAGCTGCATTCAGACTACATACTAAGTAGGAGTAAACTGAAAAGTGATTTAAATGCTTTAGAACCTGTAATTTGCATTCAGATATCACAAATACCCATCTGATTAGAACGGCACCAATCGAATGGTAAGAGACTAGAATATACAGGTGTTATTAAGTGCACTTATATTAGGCTCAATTTAAATACATAAGCTATTGTCACGCAACTAGTCGTTCTACATATTATGTAGATAAAATGGTAACTGCACTTTGACTAGCTATTCAAACGCATGGAATTAAACTAAAATTGGAAAACATTCATTCGAATGTCCTTGAAGAGCGTAGTAACACGCACGAAACCATAAGTCAAAAATCATTCATTTCAATTCTCTATGTCACTCATTCATTTGAGAGAAACGGTGAGACATAAAAACTTAGATGCACATTGAAGTAATAGTCATATGATCGTATGAAATTGTTTTCTTATAAGGTTAGACTGATCTAGTGTACTCAAACGACTAACGATATTAAATACTTTCCCACATATTTCAGAAAAAGACATAGGTTTGTGTGAACTGGTATTTGGACGAATTTCTCGTATATAATTATTATGTCTCATACTGTCATACGTTTCAGACCATCGGGTCTACCCAATCCTATAGCACAAAAAAAATAACACCATACGATCATATGACTGACTTTACTCCATCTATTGACCTTCTTCTCTCCCATGAATGAGTCATTCTTTGTTCACCTAATTTGTCTATCAAAGATGACACATAGGCTTGAATTTGCACAAGATTATCACCTAAGCCATCACATCATAGTTATTTATACACTAACTGATCTGATTTCACTTCCTGTATTATATGCATGAGATCAAGTCGATGAGTCATCCTTGATTAAACAAGTTAGGTGAACAAAGACTGACTCATTCATGGGAGAGAAAAAGTTAAATGATAGAAACTTGGAGGCACTTGTAGTAGCAGTAGTAGTAGTAGTGGTCATAAGATCGTGCAGGGTTATTATTTTTTCAAATAAGAATAGATCGATGAGGCGGTACCATGTTTATACAAAACAAGGACGAATATACTTGCAGGATAAGAGGAGTTCACTTTTTATCCCATAGCTTTTCTTAAGCTGTCAACAGCCTAGAAATAGCATAATTTAATATAAATGTAAATATATGACATACTTCAAAAGGATTTCAACTCCAATGGCATTTGATAATCCACTGAATAGTAATGCAGCATGATGTATGACTATATAGTAATTATTTACTGAACACCAGCGTTGACTTTATGTATACATAATATATAGTTAAGTTCGGGAAGATAGGATAAATACGAAAAGATACAGTAAGAGTAAAACAATTACGTAAACAAACAAATAAGCAAATCGGTAAATTATTAATTCCTCCAGCTTAGTGAGTAAAAATCAAAATTGTGTAGAGATTGTGACGCTGCAAAAAAAGAGGGACCTGGTTATCAGGGTAGTGTGAGTTTAATCACATTATCTTATTGCATACAGAGGTCAGGTTGAAATCGTTTGATAGCAGTAACTTCTGGAAAGTGAGGTAAACATGCTTTCCTCTTCTTATTGATCATTTTGAAGTCTTGACTGAGTTCAGCTGAATATCCTTTATCAGTCAGTGGTTTAGTGATTGCACTTCTGAATGATTTCTTACATTTCATACGAAGAATGTTAGCGTTTCGCCCATATTATTTTGGAATTAATTTCCTCTAAAGTTAGATCACTGATCGATATCGGTTAGAGAACCATTGGAAACCAGAGATTACAGGGTAGCTGTTTCGCCCCGTTCCGGGGACTCTTCATATGCACCCACTCTTGACCCCACCGGGAATCAAATCCAAGAACTTCAGGTTACGAGATGAGCTCGTTAGCCATTCAGCCACTGAGACGAAATGTAGTGATACATGAATTTTAACTTGTGTCAATCGTGATTTTTAATGTCACTGCCAGCCAGTGCCATCAGTGAGAATTTATTTTTATTTTTTTATTTTTGATTACAGCTTGATTCCACACCGTATTTTTGGTACAGGTATGGAATTTCAGCTTGTGATATCGGTACCCCGAATTTCGCAGGCCGATCATAGATATCAGGAATGCATCGGTAAGGGATTGAACCCCGGACCATGTACATGGTCAGCGAGCGTCATAACCACTGTGCCACCGACGCACACACCAACGTGGCGAATCCCACTGGTCATGACATCTCACTAGAACTCCAGATAACATTATTCTGTAAGCAATCAGTAGTGAGTGAACGATTAATTTTTAACTAGTAGTTTCTAGGGTCTTGATAAGTTTTAATTTTGATCACGAATACATATCTCCATTATGGATAAACATTTTTTTGATAAAATCACAGGGTTATACAGTAATATTGAAGTTATACTCTACTACAGAACCGAAATTTTATCCCCAAATGAATAATACGAATTGAAATCATTTATAGAAGTTTCATTTAATGGTGCTTCTACCTTGGAACCACCTCATCGATCTATTCTCATTTGAAAAAATAATAAACCTGCACGATCTTATGACCATTACTACTACTACTACTACTACTACTACTACTACTACTACTACTACTACTACTACTACTACTACTACTACTACTACTACTACTACTACTACTACTACTACTACTACTACTACTACTACTACTACTACTACTACTACTACTACTACTACTACTACTACTACTACTACTACTACTACTACTACTACTACTACTACTACTACTACTACTACTACTACTACTACTACTACTACTACTACTACTACTACTACTACTACTACTACTACTACTACTACTACTACTACTACTACTACTACTACTACTACTACTACTACTACTACTACTACTACTACTACTACTACTACTACTACTACTACTACTACTACTACTACTACTACTACTACTACTACTACTACTACTACTACTACTACTACTACTACTACTACTACTACTACTACTACTACTACTACTACTACTACTACTACTACTACTACTACTACTACTACTACTACTACTACTACTACTACTACTACTACTACTACTACTACTACTACTACTACTACTACTACTACTACTACTACTACTACTACTACTACTACTACTACTACTACTACTACTACTACTACTACTACTACTACTACTACTACTACTACTACTACTACTACTACTACTACTACTACTACTACTACTACTACTACTACTACTACTACTACTACTACTACTACTACTACTACTACTACTACTACTACTACTACTACTACTACTACTACTACTACTACTACTACTACTACTACTACTACTACTACTACTACTACTACTACTACTACTACTACTACTACTACTACTACTACTACTACTACTACTACTACTACTACTACTACTACTACTACTACTACTACTACTACTACTACTACTACTACTACTACTACTACTACTACTACTACTACTACTACTACTACTACTACTACTACTACTACTACTACTACTACTACTACTACTACTACTACTACTACTACTACTACTACTACTACTACTACTACTACTACTACTACTACTACTACTACTACTACTACTACTACTACTACTACTACTACTACTACTACTACTACTACTACTACTACTACTACTACTACTACTACTACTACTACTACTACTACTACTACTACTACTACTACTACTACTACTACTACTACTACTACTACTACTACTACTACTACTACTACTACTACTACTACTACTACTACTACTACTACTACTACTACTACTACTACTACTACTACTACTACTACTACTACTACTACTACTACTACTACTACTACTACTACTACTACTACTACTACTACTACTACTACTACTACTACTACTACTACTACTACTACTACTACTACTACTACTACTACTACTACTACTACTACTACTACTACTACTACTACTACTACTACTACTACTACTACTACTACTACTACTACTACTACTACTACTACTACTACTACTACTACTACTACTACTACTACTACTACTACTACTACTACTACTACTACTACTACTACTACTACTACTACTACTACTACTACTACTACTACTACTACTACTACTACTACTACTACTACTACTACTACTACTACTACTACTACTACTACTACTACTACTACTACTACTACTACTACTACTACTACTACTACTACTACTACTACTACTACTACTACTACTACTACTACTACTACTACTACTACTACTACTACTACTACTACTACTACTACTACTACTACTACTACTACTACTACTACTACTACTACTACTACTACTACTACTACTACTACTACTACTACTACTACTACTACTACTACTACTACTACTACTACTACTACTACTACTACTACTACTACTACTACTACTACTACTACTACTACTACTACTACTACTACTACTACTACTACTACTACTACTACTACTACTACTACTACTACTACTACTACTACTACTACTACTACTACTACTACTACTACTACTACTACTACTACTACTACTACTACTACTACTACTACTACTACTACTACTACTACTACTACTACTACTACTACTACTACTACTACTACTACTACTACTACTACTACTACTACTACTACTACTACTACTACTACTACTACTACTACTACTACTACTACTACTACTACTACTACTACTACTACTACTACTACTACTACTACTACTACTACTACTACTACTACTACTACTACTACTACTACTACTACTACTACTACTACTACTACTACTACTACTACTACTACTACTACTACTACTACTACTACTACTACTACTACTACTACTACTACTACTACTACTACTACTACTACTACTACTACTACTACTACTACTACTACTACTACTACTACTACTACTACTACTACTACTACTACTACTACTACTACTACTACTACTACTACTACTACTACTACTACTACTACTACTACTACTACTACTACTACTACTACTACTACTACTACTACTTCACTTAAATAAAGAAATTATTATCAATCACCTTCATAAAAGTAAAGTAAGAATAACGATAAAGCACAAAAAGTAACAACACGTGAAGAAGTTAAATTGAAATGAATAAATGTATGAGATAATGCTTAGTATACCAAACAGAAACCAGTGTTCTCATATGCCTGTACAATGACATATACAGAAGTTAAAAGTATTTTCTAATACAGTTTAAGTCATAACTCACTTATTGAAGACAACAACCCCATCACTTTGAATTAATTCTTTGAAGGCATGAAGACGTTTACTTCTTTCCTTGTCAACTTCTTCAAAGTCATTTCTTAATTCACTCGGTACATCCCTGAAAAGATAATATTTGAAAAGAAACCTTGTTTTACGTACGAAATATTTAATATATACGTTGTAAGATGGCAGAGAATATGATAATGTGTTTCACATGAACTTGTTATACAAAGACGGCCTATGCTTAAATCACTGAGCCATTTATAGTTTTTCATCCATTTTTGCAGCTTATTTTCTGTATTTCGTTTTGTTTTAGTTATCCAATTACAATCATGAATCACAATCTGTACTCAAAAAAATTTACAAATAGGTTTCAACTTGCTACTATGGGATGAGGTGAAAAAACATTACAGATTATTAAACAATGGCTTGGATAAAGGAAATAATACATTCATTATATTTTACGAGTTGATCACGGATTGATATCAGTTAGAGAACCATTGAAAACCAGGGAGTACTGGACAGCTGCTGTTTCATCCTAGTTTGGGAATCATCGGCAGTACGCACCCATTATAATAAAGGTTTTTGTATTTCCCAGTGAATGAAAAACAAAACGATATTGTTTTTACTGACATTTCGCTATTTAATGAAAATCGAGTTAGGTCAAGTTAAAAGGAAATATTGAAAGTCAAAATAACAATGATCACTAAAACCAAATATCAAAGGTAATAGTACATCTGTTATGATATCAAAACAAAGTTTACTAACTTGATCATCGTTCGTTAGTCTGGGGTCGTTTCTTGTTGTCAAGTTGGTGAATTGGTAAAATTAACAAAATCAAGTGTAGATTGTTGGATTTTATCAGTGTGTAAAATTATAAAAGTAGTGTATGTTTACATAGTGAACTTGCTTATCACATTTGTATTGATTTTGCCACTTCACGAGGGAGGGGGCTGTTATAGCCAGGTCAGATTCTGTCTTAGTCCATCTTTCCTATTCAGACAATTTGGATTCCACTTGATATGAAGTGCTTATGATATTAGAGGTTCTTTGTGATTTCTGAAGTTTTTCTGGATTATTTCAATATTGTCAAAATCAATTTTGTGGCCTGATTCTATAGCATGTAGACCTATGGCTGATGATTTTTCAAGTTTTTTTTAGTTCAAATGGATTTCTTGGTGGTCGAAGAGATGCTCTACGGTGTTCATTTCTTCTGATTATGATTTCTCGAGATGTTTGTCTGATGTAGATCGCATCACATTCCGAGCATTTTATTTTATAGACACAATTAGATAGAGAATCTTTAGGGATTTGGTCTTTTATATGGACAAGGTTGCTTTGAAGTGTGCCTGATGTTTTGAAGAAAAATCTAATGTAGGGCTGATTGAGTACTCTTCTGATATCGTCTGACATCTCTGCTCTATATGGAATGACGACTGTTGATGTTCATGTTTTCGGAATGCGTTTTCGGCCATACTTAATGTTTGTGTTGATTTTGTTGATGAAGCTCCTTGGTTAGTTGTTTTTCTTGAGAGTTTCAGTAATGTTTGATATTTCTTCTTCTTTTTCTTTCTCATCCGTTATCAGAGAGTGTGCTCGTCTAAGAAGAGTTGAAACAACTGAAATCTTTGCGCTGATGGGGTGTGATGATTTGAAGTCTAAATATTTATTGGAGTGGGTTTTCTTCCTTAACATGGATATACTAAAATTTCCATTTTCCTTTATCTTAACTAGGCAGTCTAGAAATGGTAGTTCACCGACGTCCTATTTTGCTTCCGAAGTGAACTGGATTTTGGGAGATACACAGTTTATTTTCTCGCTTTAGCACTACAAAAGTATCATCCACATATCTTAACCATATTTTAGGAGTGAGTATGCTTGAAAAGATATTATTTTTGAATTTATTCATGTTATTATCTTTACCAATTGACCAACTTGACAACCAAAAATGCCCCCGGACAGACGAACGATGATCAAGTTAGTAAACTTCGTTTTGATATCATAACAGATGTACTATTACCTTTGATATTTGGTTTTAGTGATCTTCATTGTTATTTTGACCTTCAATATTTCCTTTTAAGTTGAAGTAAGTCTATATTTTTTCTCATCCCTAACTCTTTGTTATATATATGCTGAGATTTTGTAAATTCCGGTTTAATAATACTTTGATAAAGCTATTAGCATTAAATAGCGAAACGTCAGTAAAAACAGCAATATCGTTTTGTTTTTCATTCATTGGGAAATACAGAATCCTTTATTATAATGAATATCATATACATAATGCCCAAATTTTTTCAAACCGTTAAAAGTGAACTTGGTTTGGACATAAATTAAAAACCGGAAATACTGCATATTGTAAATGAAAACATTAGCCAATCAGCAAAAGTCGTCAAGGTTCATTTTAATCCTTCCTGCAGAGGTTGTAAAAAGCATTTACATTGGTAAAATCAGAACGTTAAAAATAATTGTCCCCCTTTCGTTGTCGACTTTTGAGTACCTAGCTTATCAAACTATTGTAGTCAAAATTAATTTTGATTCTCTTGATTTTTATGATATTTGAACAGATAAACTAATTGTCGTATAACAATGCACAGAAGTGCTTCATTAGACTTCGCTGAATCACGAAACAGTTTACAAAAATATGAACAGGAATAGAATAAATCTACGTTGGAAAAAAACATCAGTATCATAGAAGACAGAATGAGTGAACAGAGACCAGTGAAACTTTTCAGCCTTTTGACGGTCACACAGGATAGGAACATCTGTGTCATTCTAAGTGATCTTAAACGGTATCATTAGGAGTTTACGATCATTGGTCTCTGGTGTACTGACGACCTCAGCTAAAAAAAACTACTGAAATTTGAGTATCAGCAACCACTGCACTTCATTGATGTTTTTGAAGCAGTATTTGGTTTTTTCTGTGCTGGAATGTAGCCACCTGAACTCATATGTCTTTTTGATATTCTCATATACCATTTTTTAATTCTTTTATTAGAAGTTTTGTAAAAATTGAGGATTAAAATGAAAAAAAATAGAGAACAAAGAAGCTTAAAGTTTTTAGGACCAAATGTATGTATTGAGACTAGTGAAGGATATTAAGTTCGCATCATAGGGATTTCAAACAGAACAACATAATTGGAAGTTACAATTATTGGGCCATTGAGTCAGATCCCAGTGACTGAGTGGTTTACGAGCTTGCTTTGTAACTGGAATGTCCTGGGTTCAAAATCTGGTAGGTGCGTGCTGCCGATGAGTCCTAAACTAGGACGGAACAACTGTCCAGTACTTCCTGGTTTTCAATGGTCCTCTAACTGATATTAATCTGTGGTCAAACTTGAAAAACAGAACAACATAAACCAAAAATATTTTTCTTTGTATTTGCTGTCAGTTGAATTTTGCTCCACTTCTTAACTTTATTCAGGAGAATTTGCAGAGGTTGTAAGGTAATCAGTTGTAGAAAAGATTGAACAACGGAGTACCACCTACCAACGATAACGGAGCCTTATTTAAAATCATTATTTAGTTTAGATGTTTATCGAATAACTATAGAAACTTTATGTCGTTTGATAGTTATCAAAAAGTGGTTTAACAAAATTTCCACGCTTTTCCAATATGAACAGAATATAGAAAAGAAGCATTACAAGTAAAAAAAAATACATTAACCATAATTTATTAAGACTTACTTGATGCATTTGGAATCCCTAATGAAAACACAAATCCGAAGGCGTACTGCTTCTTGAGCATTTATTTTACCATTCTGTCTCTCATGCAATGAAAATTTGGATAGAGCAGTTTGTTTAGCTATATGATATTCCATTTCAGTCACAGACATTCCTGGTTTGTAAAATTTAAGCACTTCAGCCAATAGTGGTTTAGGTAAACCGTTAATCTGAACTTCATTCGGTACCCATCCATATCTGCATAATGAAAAACAAAAACCACAGAAAATTCCGTAGTCACTAAAGTTGAAATGAACTATTAGCAAGATATCAGAATATTGGGTGAGGGTTGATTACAAATTCCAGAATAATACTATGACCTTAACACAAATAATTGCGTAGGTGAGTCTGGGATTCGGTTCCCTGCCGACGTTCTCCCTTACCCTACTAAGCCAGTAGTAAGACTGGTAAATAGGGGAGGTTGGGAATGAGGCTAGGAACCCCATCCTGTAAAAATAATCACCACTGCTACAGAAACTTCAAGCCTGTAGCTTGAAGCCTTATGTTCCACTGGGAACGTTAAGGAATATATAAAACACAAATAATTATAGGTTTTGAGGAAAATTTATCCTACTTTGCAAAGGAAATCAGGCGCGTGTTCACTGTTTCAGGTGATGTTATCACATTAAAGTATTTGTGCAATATTTTCTTGAATTAATTCCAGTTACAAAAACAGAAGCCTCATTATGAAAACCGCAATGTTGGATAGTGATCATGAAAAACCACCAGCTTGAGTGCTATGAAACTATAAGAATTAATTCGCAGATTTCGAATGATAAAAATTCTTAAGAAATAGATGCTTGTATCGGGAATTGATGAATTTGAACTAAGTATAATTACTAATCCAAATGTGATAGTATTCTAATTTATACGTAAAAATCAGATGCTCTGAAGCCCCAAATTCACTACATACACGCATATACACACAAACTTGAAGACCTACAGCTGAAAACCAACAAGTTGACTGAAGAAGCAAGAAAGACATGACTTCAAGTCAGCACAGAGAAAACAGAGGTGATCAAGATACCCAACGACCAGCAGCAAGCACTTACTCCTATCAGTAGGATAAATTTGACTATTTAGGCAGAAGCATCTCAAATACAGTGGGCAAGGGGAGACTGATGATGATGTCAAAGCCATGGTCGGAAGGACAAGACTGACCTTCATTAGTCCGAAACCAGTCTGGAAATCTACTGCACTAAGCATAAAGAACAAAATCCGGATTTTCAACACTAATGTCAAGTTGGTTCTTCCACATGGTTCAGAGATGGTGTGTCATCAAAGGCATTTCAAACAGGCTTCATACTTTTATCAACACCTGCATCCTTTCCATACTGAAGATCAGGTGGCCAGAATGGATTGGCAAAGGGGGACTCTGGGAACGAAACAACCAACAAATATGCCGAAGAAGATGGAGATGGATCAGACACACCTTGAGGACACTATAGAATTTTATTGCGTACCAAGCCTTGGAGTAGAACCCGAGTGAGAAACGATGAGTTAAACTACTGAAGGAGACATAGGCGAGGTCGTGTGAAGATGAAATTAGAGCCTATTGGCAGTCATGAACCCAGCTAAACGGGAATGCCGAAAACACGATGAAATAGTTATGTACAGCTGAAGTCCTATGTTCCTCTCAAAACCTAAAGGTATAATAATAATGTAAATCAAATCTAATTGAAATGTAGTAAATATAGATTTCGCAGTCCTCATCTTGGAAAGAAAAACTTTACCTAGTTCTGAAAAAGCAACTGAATTTACTTAACTGACAGTAAACATTCGTTAGTAATGGTGTTCTATACAGAAAAAGTTTTTAAAAATATTGTTTGTGTGGCCTAAAATCTAAGTTAATAGAACATTATACAACACAATAATGAAACTTAAGTTCAACGTCTTAACACTAAGACTTCTAAATTAATCTGTACGTAAAATTCTGAATTCTATCACCAGAAAACACGAAGAAGTTTTCTGTTTGATCATTAACATCTTTATATCGTATCAGTAAAAAGTTTGAGCATTGTGGATTAGATCAAATTAAGTATAATTATATTTCAATAGTTTACACACAATGATAAGTTTTGTTATTGGTAATATTTCGAGCAAAGTTACTGCCCGTGTTCACACCACTGTTGGAATTGTTTTATTCACACATTTATGATTTGTACTCAAATATATAGTTCTTTATATCATAAGTGGTGAAAAATAATTTTAGGCACAAAATGACACTTCACTAAAGTATCCGTAGTGAGTAAATGAAAGATGAACTAGACAATTTCAAGTATTGTGAAGAAGAAATCAATAAATGAAAACTGTTTTGTTTTCTTCGTGATGTGATATCAGATAGTGGACATTTTATCACTAAGTTTGATGGTGTCATCAGAACCAACTAAAGAATGAAGTTCAGAGAGCAATAAATAATTTCGGTTCACATTCTCAGCCACCAATCTTCTCTGGTATTTTGACCGTAAGTAATTTCGTGGGTAAAAGTCTCTTTGATAAAAAGAAGTTGACATCCAACCCGTAGACTACGTTTCAGAATCGACTTTTTGGTAACTGAGGTTGGATCAAGTAGAAATTGTGACTACCAACCATACAAGAAGTAACTCATTATTATTCAGTAGCTTTTAATATTAAGTGCTGTTATGTAACCTCAGGATAAGCAGGATGAAAATGAACAGTGTATCATCATCAGAGTTCCGACAACAATAAAAAAAAAATTAAAAATGTGATTAAAAAGCTAACATTTACCGATCTCCTAGTAACAGCACAAATATATCAGATGCAGCTGCCTGCTCTAAGCATATCTGTAAAGCATGCGAACTATAGGTAGTCATTTCAGGAACTCCCCAACGTAAGTCAATTTCATTTAAGTGTACACGTAAAGGCACTGCAACCTTTTCACGAAGAGCAGGCACAAGTACACCACAGATTAAATCACGTTCACCGTACATATCAAGAAATGTTGATGAAATGAATAACTGACAACAACTCCATCTACATTAAGTAAAAACATATGTAAAAAAGAAACAGTTAAATAATCACACAGTTAATTAGCATGCATTGAAAAGTGAACTTATAAACAAGAAAGTCTAGAGGAAATACGGAAATTTTCAAATTTTCTGAAATCAGTACAGTTTGTTTATTCAGTTCTATCTTTTAGATGAATATAAAATAGATGTATGCAACCAATTACTTTGTAGATAATTCTTATTAATTTGACTTTTGAAATAAAGGTTATTGATGTCAGTAGCAGAAAGAACATGTAGTCGTAAATCCAGATGACGAGTCCCAGGTAGGACGAAATGAGCGTTGTCCTGGATTCCACTGCCGATCACCATCCCCCAGCTGACCTCAATTCAGTATTTAAATTATTATTCATATGAACTATTTTCAACACATTCGGGTTAATGCTAATGCAAATATGTTAAATAATACTATTCACTGATGCCACTTACTTTGAGATGGTGTGAGTCTAAGAATGTACACAGAAGTACTGGACTACAAGTATTTTTTTTCATTCAACGTCTAATTCTTTTTGTTAAAAGTCACTATATGTAACTTGCGAAAATATTCTAAAATTTCACTCTCAGAACCATTTCAAGAACTTGAAGTCTTTCTTGTCTTTTTCCCTAGTCGTGAAACGTAAACATTTTTTGATTAGTGTTTTCAATCCCAAAGTCGAAAATACCGAATCCACTGAACCAAAATGCTACTTACATATATATATATGTGCTACAGTGCGGCGGTAGCTTAGTGGTAGAAAGCTGGCCAGCCACCCTAGTGGTCCAGGGTTCGATTCCCAGTCGACGCATACCTTTACCTCCCTTAGACGGTAATAAGCCCAGTAAAGAGGAGAGTTGGGTGTGACGCTAGCAAGCTGATCCTGTAAAATCGCCACCGCTACTGAAACGTCAAAGCACTAACTTGAGGTCACTTATTCCACTGGGAACGAAAATGAATATAAAAAATAATGTAGAAGATAGCAATTTATTGCTTCTCGTTTTACCTGAATGTCATCTAAATAATTAATAATCAGAGTGAAAACACCCAAGCTTAAATTTGTGTGTATATTATTCATCTCGTACCTAAATTACAGTTTCATTTCATTAGTCAATAAAGTCTAGTGGCCAGTGGTTCAAATATCTCATATTACCGAAGTATGATTTCGGTAAAAGGTGTTTGTGAGAAATTATCTTTCAGAGTACGGTCACATCGTCTCGTTATTCGATGATTTCGACAATATGACATATGTTAGTCTACTAATATGATTCTTTGGTGCTTTACTGCTCTGATGATATTATATGGTTGGAGGCAATCGGCCACAGGAAGCCTTGGACCTAGGTTTCGTGCTAATTGGCACTCACTATTCAGCAAGGCGTATCTGCAACCTTCAAGGAACTCATGAGATTCGAACCCGCGTCACCCACTGGTGCAGTCAGAGACGTTACCACTGAGCTATTCGAGTTCGCGATTGACCTCCGGTAGGACTGTAGTGGGTATTTCGATTGGACACTAGTAACTAGTGTGATGTGTCTAGTCCTTTCTTTGGTGCAGACTGAATTTTATCAGTCAGGTTTGCAATGTGGTCACCATTCTAGGTAGCTGGACATCACGGTACACATTGATTTGATGATATTAGATGGTACTGTTCTATATGTACTCAGAGATAATTACTGATAAGTTAACATATATATATATATATATAGTGTCTTTGGTATACTTTTATTTCTTTCGAGCAACAACTATTTTAGGTGATTTATGCATACAAAAGGATAGACGAGAAAGCTCAGACGTTTATTTTACAAATAAACTTAGCTAAAGTTTATAAAAAACCTCAAATCTATTCAATAATCGGAATAAAACACGATTGAATTAAAGTCAATAACTTAATTCGAATATAACTTTTGTTTTAATGACTAAAATACTTACGCTGATTTAAAATAATTTCGCTGAGATAACATTGTATCATTATTAGTTTTTGTCGCATGTTTATCTTCACAGTTGAACTGATACATTGTGTCAACATTCAATCTATAGATTTCATCAATTTTTTCAACACGTTCAAGTAATTTATCTTCATTCGGTTCTGCAATATACCGGAGTATTTGATCTGTACATCCTCTAAATTCAATCCAACCATCCTTAGAACATTGCGTCGACCTAAACAAGAGTTTAACACATAGTATACATTAAATTAAATTGTTTATTAACTTAAAAGTGTAACATTTACTTTTACCTGGAAATAATCTAGAGGTGATAAAACCAATTTGACCATAATAAAAACATTTAACTCTCAATGAATTTTGTCCTGAAACATTATCATCACTGTTAAGTTGAAATGAGAAACGTTTTCGTACAATTGATAAATGGATATTTTCACTCTATACAACTAAAAATTCCATCTTCATTTGCATTTTTCCAAGTTAAAAATACTAATAAAACAATGGAATGTGTAATAAACTAACTGACCGCCATTAAAACACGGAGGCCTAATTAAATCACTGCGCTACCAAAAATTTCTGTTCATCAAAATGCGTCGTTGCTACTCCATTTCAAGCTGTTCTAGTCCTCTAGTTACCACAATTAGTCGCAGTCTATACTCGCGCACAATTTCAAAGAACTTTCTACATACCACTAGGAGTTTTGGCGAAAGAAATCGAGGAAGAACATTGTGGAGTGACATTGAGGCATACTTCGGATGTAAAAATATTGCTTCAGATAACGTATTATCGATTATTAAATTATTTGAAGATTATACACAAGGATTAGATACCTTGCAATGAAACTCACTAAAAATTCAGTACTGTGTATCAACTCATTTTTCAGAACAAAACTACTGGTATACTAATAATGATAGTTCCTAATTTAAAAGAAGTTCATATAATTGTACCAGTGAAATAAAGCTTTCAATTAATATCGTTTGACAAAGAGCAATTTTATACTAAATTACTCAGATATTGTTCGTAGCCTAAACTAGTTTTATATGACAATTCACTAACCTTAACTGCCAATGATTCACAAACTAGGATGAAACAGCTGTCCAGTACTCCCTGGTTTTCAATGGTTCTCTAACTGATATCAATTCGTGGTCAAGCTCAATTCCTTACAAATCAACTCTTGAATATATGTATGCAAATGTTAAGCTTTAAAGCAGAATAAAAATGTTAGCAAGATTACCTAATTTTACTCTGTTTGAGTTTAAAAGGATAGCATCAACTTAACGTGTTCATTGTTATTTACACTAATCTTTCAAATCAACATTATTGATTTCTGTAAATAAGGCTTGTTTTCTAATAATAAGTATCGCATTGTGAGTAAGTGATACATCGAGCAACCAGAATTTCATATCACACATGAAAAAAATTCACAGTTTTGTTTATCTGTGGAACGTGAAAATGACAATTCAAAGAGACTTTTTTCAAAGGAATAATGCCACAAATCAATAATAAGCAGCACATGATATATGTTTATACATTGCACAGTGAAGTGATTGGTGCATATTACTACTATCGTGAACCATGATATTTTCGTTTAGAATATTAACTAACTCAATATTCAGTTAACGAAGAAAATGAACTCAATAAAATCTATTTCAAGATGAATATCTAAGAAATTAAACTAGAAGTGATTATGTTGAATATCTCTATGTAAGCTGTAAATAAGACATTTAACAATTACTGGTCAGGCTATAAGCAGGTATAAGATGAAACATAAATAGTTTAACGGAAGAAAACAGAAAACGTTTGGGCTATATTAGTTATCAGTTTCCTAATTTTCTTTTTGATTCATGAAGTACTAATTTTTTATAAATGTTATGAAGCTGTGAAAAGAATTACCATCCACAGACGTTCAGCAATCTGTGTTAAACATTAGGTTTAAAAGTTCGTAAACCATTCCAATCTAGACTACATAGCTGAAGTTGTTTATAAACTGAAATAACTGTTATGGATTGCTTGAGAAATAAATAGCGAATATGACGAAAGCAGGACTTCATAAATTTACACATTCGGATAAAAAATTTCAGAAAAATACTTTTTGGTCGTATTAGATTTACTACACCGTTGGTAGGCGTATTTCAATAATTCGCAGTAATACATCTTCAATTCACACATCATTATTAATGTAGATTTCATTTTCAGTACTTCAGAAATACACTTAAACACAAGAAAACTGAATGTTATTGTCTGATGTATTTCACTGATATATATATATATATACGACTGAAAGCTTTATATATTTAGAACTCAACTAATGCATACTATGATTGGTAAAACATTTGTATTTTTTGCCTGCATCCCTTTGATAAATTTCAGTAGACATAAAAATAAAATGTTTGAACCAGTAAAACAATTTTGATGACCAATAAATTGTTTCTTCATTTCGAACAGACAGGTTGGGACCTAAGTTTCGTGTTGAGGTGTACCTGCTATCTTCAATGAATGTATGCACCTTCACTAATTGGATATCATTTCACTCAGAGGTGTCGTCAGCGAAGAAGAGAAACTGGAGATGGATCAGGAATACGTTGAGGACGTCGTCGAATGACATCGCGCACTGAGCCCTTGAGTTGAAATCAAATGGGGAGCGACGAATGGGTAGTCAGTGCAAGAGCAACACAGAGGAGATCGTGTGAGGAGGAGATGAGAGACTATGGGCAATCATGGACCCAGCTGAAGAGGGCAGCACCATATAGAAGAAAGTGGAGATGTGTTGTTGAAGCCCTATATCTCACTCAGATTTCTCAATAAGATTTATCTTTAAAATATTTCCTCACTTTAAAAAAAATACTGAGAAATACGTACTAAAGTTCCACAGAATTGTGGTTTTTAATGAGTGCTAACTAGTGAAAACGGTTTGTGCCAATTCAACACATGAAAATTAGGAAGGGTATTGATACAACCAATCTATCTAACAATTAAAAAAGAGGCGGCAAAACAATTTGAAGTGTGATATTAATCATTCATGTCGAAAAATCTAGTTTCACTCAAAGTTGAATTGAAAATGCCAGTAAGCAGGTAATTAGTAGTCGACTATTTAAAAGCAAACAAATTAGATAATGTAATAGTAATTACATAATAGGTGTTTCTTACCATTTGTCTTCACCACTTAAATTACCCCATATCGCTTTTATAGGTCCAATATAAGCACGATAATTTGCGACATAATCAATAATGTGCTGGTGACAGTCTCCAAAGACAACAACTTTATCGAACTGAAATTAATAAAGGCAATGGACACATTGTATTACACAGCAAAAGCATTTAAATGTAATTAAATAATTTTGAGCTTTTATTGTCTAGTTAACAGGATAATTGCATGGAGGATTTAATCATGAGCTGACATCAGTTAGAGAACCACTGGAAAACTTGGGAGTACTAGACAGCTGTTTCGTCCTAATTTGCGACTCTTCAGCAGTACGCACCCACCGCCAGGGTTCGAACCCAGGACCTTCTGGTTACAAGGCGAGCTCGTAAACCATTGAGTCACTGGGACCCCATCCAATGATCCTTGAATTCTAACTTCTGCCAGTTCACGACATAGCGCGACCACTTCGCAATGTCTTCTTCGATGAGTTACTGCCTCATCTTCAACCTGCTGTACCCTACTGGTCACGGCTTCCCACTAGAACCCCAGGTTAACTGCCTGAATAGGCCCAGTCACTAGTGAGCATCAGATTAACTTTCAAGTACTGGTTTTGTAGGGATTTTGTTTGATTGCATGGAGGATTCCAGTGGTTCTCTAACTGATGTCAGCTCATGATTAAATCCTCCATGCAATCAAACAAAATCCCTACAAAACCAATACTTGAAAATAACAGGATAATTAGCAGAACAAATCCTTCATTGCGAACAGTTTTCGAAATATTATACACAGAACAGCATTAAATAAAGAATAGAACATCCAAAAATTAAGATCTCTAACTAATTACACTTAATTTTCATGTCCAATCCCCAAATCTGATAGAGTAAGGGAGAAAGTCATCAAATTCTTTTGTTGTTGTCTCTGCATTTGTTTTTCCTCACAAAGTATACACATTCACGAATGAATAAGAACGAAGATTTGTTCGGTCCCTAATCAAAAATACACTTGTACAAAGTGATATTAAAGTGGGTAGAAAGAATTATTTCTTCTTTAAATGAGCCATTATTGAAATCTATGAATGCTTAAGTAAACTTATTTGTTTAATACCTCATGAAAGTAGTTAACCGTAGTAACATTCCAGCGTTATGTACTGTAATGAGAATATGTTAAAACTGTTCCAATTCTTTCATCAATAATAATTGTTTCTATAGCCTAATAAAGCAAATTCCCCAAGACTGGAACTTAAGCATCTGAGGATTACTGCAATCCAAAGTTTATAACAGCACCACTCAAGAAAATTATAAACTTTTACAAACTACTTTCTGAAATTTGTGCAGCGTGCATTGTCTAGAATGACTGTGAATGTTACACGAATAAAGTATCCAGCATATGAGATATTCAGGACCGTCCAAATCCCCAACTTGAATTGCAAGTGTTCTGCACCATGATAGTTCTAAGCTTTGGTTACATGATATACTGTACATACTACATTTATTTTAAAATTGCTGAATTTTTAAAATAATCAAATGCAGTTGTTCACTAAAATTCTAATTTAGGATTGAGTCATTTTTAGTGAATTTTGTGGTATATGATTTAGTATTATAGAGATATTTTGTGACCGTCAGTTTAGTAGAGGTGGAACCATTTTTACCTTATTTCTAAAGGCAACAAAATAAAAAGATACCTTTATTTCTCAATGTGACTAGGATTTCATTTGACTGTGATTATTCCATTGAGGGGCTACCTCACTTCTGTACGGTTACATTATTTTTGTATAGTATAAGCTTTAGTGTATGGGAAAAATTGGATTGATCGTAAATTAAGACCATCATTATATGGGATTTTCCAGCTGAGGCTACAAATGCATTTTGGAATCTTTGCAAACACTATTCATACAACTAAACCAACAGATTAAAGTGTCTCAGTGGCCTGTGCAGACAAAGAAGAGTACCTTATTATATATAAACTGGAGTAGTTGTACTGTGATTTAAACCAACAAACTACTTGAGATCAGACGATTTATTAACTGGCTAAAAAATGGAAAGAAAAAATATTACAGCATACTCTAGTCCTCAGAGGATCTGGAATGGAACCCAAGACCTTCTGGTTTCAGCCACCCCCCCCCCAGTTCATGTCTTTTCTTCGTCTTCAGTCTTCTGCTTAAACTGGTCTTCCAGGTTACAACTAGCTCAGATAGCCTTAGTCGCTCACTCTATCTATTTAGGTGTGGCTAGAAGTTAGGTGAGCAGATGACGTGATGATGTCAAATATTTACCTACGCATTCACATAACAGCTGAATGGAAGTAGCAGTGAAACTGCTACCTTATTAATAGACAGGTCACTTAAATAAGTCAGGAATGAAACAGCTAGAAACAACCGTTTCAAATTTTTTCACATCAATCCTCTTATTAACAATAAATTATGAAACACCGTAAGATAAACAAAGATACTGTTACGATCAAGGTGAATGTGGCGAGTGAATACATCTGAGCTATCTCATTTTATCCTAAACCATTACACTGGCTCAAATAGCACGAGATATGCATCCTGGATTCCTCTGATAATCACCATCCACCAATCAACTTCTCATTACATTGACTGTTTTTAATAAACTACTTAGGTGGGATCTTGAATCCCACTGAAAAGCCTACTGTTCCTTATATCATTCACGGATCAGTCATGTGCTGGTTGGCTAATCTTTAGAACCAATAAATTTGATTGAAAGAAAAATGAATTTCCACTATAGTATACAAGTGCTTTTTATTCTTTCATCATTACTCAACCTGAAAACTCAGAATTCTTATTTCCCGCCAGTAAATTTATTAGTATTTCGCAGGTGTAAATAAAACACAAGACAACACTTCCATTACTGGGAAAGAAAACTTAAAAGATCACCAGATTCCCAAATTAAGCATCTTAAAATTGTGGAATCTTATAATAACAAATATAAGATAGATGAATGGGTCAGAGGAAAGCTTAGCTATTGTCAAACATGCATCAAGACAAAATTTAAAGTCACTATGAATTGAATGTATGGTCCTCATGATCAAGTTAGTTAAATAGATGGAATGCTTAACATTATTAAATACACGTAATCAAAGTATTTTATGGTTATGAGATATTTTACCACTATTGTGACAAAAGGGGAAGAGGTAACTAAAGCACAATAGCAAAATGTTGTGTGATTATAATTATGTCTTTAAATGCCGAATTTCTATCAATCAATGATTAACTGTAAAGTATACAATGCAATATTTTTCCTTTACAAACTACACTTGGAGGAATTCTTAGTTTGGGAATCATCGGCAGTACGCACCCACTGGGATTCGAACCCGGGACCTTCCGGTTACAAGGCAAGCTCATATACCATTCAGCCACTGAGACCCGATTCAATAGCTCGTGAATTCTAACTTCTACTAATTCGTGATTTAGCGCGACCCCAACCATTGTTGTTGGTGGGACATCCATCCACACACGTGACATCTAATTGGACCTCACTGGTCACGACTTCTCACTAGAACTCAGGAAACTCCAACCTGTAGCAAGTCACTAGCGAGCATCAGATTAACTTTCCATAGTTTGGTTTAGTAACTTGCTACAGGTTGGAGTTTCCTGAGTTAGATGTCACGTGTGTGGATGGATGTCCCACCAACAACAATGGTTGGGGTCGCGCTAATCACGAATTAGTAGAAGTTAGAATTCACGAGCTATTGAATCGGTCCCAGTGGCTGAATGGTATACGAGCTTTCCTTGTAACCGGAAGGTCCCGGTTCGAATCCAGTGGGTGCGTACTTGCGATGATTCCCAAACTAGGATGAAACAGCAGCTGTCCAGTACTCCCTGGTTTTCAATGGTTCTCTAACTGATATCAATCCACGATCAACCGTAAAACATAACTAATCCTTACAAAACCAAACTATAGAAAGGAATTATTAGTGTTGAAAAAATCCATGATACTGATAATTTTTTAGTGTTCCCTGTATTTTGATAAATGCAACCTTAATAATTTCATCTATAAATGAGGTGATCCCATAAAGTGAATTAATCTCTCCAGAGAAGTATGGCACATGTGTACGACATCTTACTACATGCTAGATGCTGTATTAGCTGAAATAATATTGGCATTATTTGTGTTCTATTCTTAAATTTTTAAAAATATCTAGAATATCATGGAGAATAAATCCAATTAAATACTTACCTGTTTACGATGGGCATAGAATATCTCCAGAACCGATGTGATTGAAGTAGATGTAGCAGACTAGTAAAATGTATAAAAGACTGAAGATGATTTTAAAGTAAATCTTTTAAAATTTGCATTTAAAAATTACTTTCAAAACCATGTAGAAAGCAACAGTTATTGCTATTTGGATAGTATTATGAAAAAGAGTGAGTTCATCTAAAAAATTCAATGTATTCGAGAAATACATTTCGAACTATTTGATCATACATTAACTTGTTCAGTTTCAATGAAAAATGAAAGTTCCGACAAAATAAGCAAAATATTAAAGGATTAGAGAGTAAGAAAGATGATAACTAACACAACTCTCAGTAATATAATCAGATAAGGATTGTCAAGGTAAGTTAAGTGTAACAATAACTTTATTCTGTATGCACTGGAAGGGGAACTTAATTTTTCTGATGGTTATCACCTCAATATATTTTATTAGGCATCCATGTCAGTTTTTATAGGCATTCTTGAAAGCTATTTTGATATCAGCCTTACAATTCATATGAGTAATATGCGTTGATATAGAAAAGCTGATAGTTTACCACTTGTGTTTATACAGGTTTTGAAGTTCAACTGTTTTTCAAGCCATTTGGGTATATGTTCTTCCATCCCTACGTTCAAGGCACGATTACTCCTCTTTGTGTATCTGCGTCCACATACATGAAAGTTATACAATATGGGATGTGATTTAATCATTTTAACTATATTAAGGTCTGTGGTAGATGATTTCTGATAATTATAGGCCAGGCTGCATCACCAGTCGCCTGCTTAAATCACTGGGCTCCCAGAATTCCCATCCATCAAAGTGCTGAAACTCTTCTGCACTTCTGATTGTATCAATTAAATTAGATCACTAATGCATGAATTTGCGCGCCTATTTAATTGGTTTCCCACTACATGCTGTGCAATTTTTGAAGAAATTAAAGAAAAAATGTACAGAATTGGTTCTCTCCTTATATGCAGCAACACTAAGACAAATGATTTACTTCAGATTATTGGTTTACATGTAAATTTTGTATGAAGAGGAAATATATTTTGGAACTAAATACGCCGAAAATTTCTCTAGTATATTTTCACATATTGTCTGAATTAAAGCTGTACTATTATTATAATAGTAATTTTTACAGGATGATAGAATTTAGTATCTCTCTTAAAAATATTTACTTTCCTGTTTTAAAGTTATTTAACGTAAATATCTTCCCTAGGAATAGAGTAAACTGTGAACTTCATATTTGACTATCCTCTACATTGGCTTAGAAGCTTTAAGTGGATATGCATTTTCGACAAGTATATCAGTAAATATTATACTTTCATCATCTATTGCATTCGCTGTACAAATACTATGAATCCTATTAAATAAGTATTTGACCAATCCTGTCTTTTACTGCAAAGGAAAAAAACAGCGGAAATCTTTATACTGCCTTATTCATGTATGCTTACTATAAATCAGTCGCTTTACTGAGACATCCCTCCAACTCAAAAGAATTTATTAAACTAGGAGTCAATTGTCCCTTTCTACTTAACGTGTAAGGCTAATGTGATTCCTCAGAGTTGATCCCATCACATAGTACAATGATATCATCCACATATCTCCTTTAAAAAGCTTCTTAGCTATCGAATCGCCAGATTTTCAATGTGAGACAGCTGACAATGCTGTAACAGACTCCCCATAGAAACATATATCATTTGTTGAAATTGTTCCCCTTCAAAAGTCAAATAAACGTTGTCAGTACATTATAATAAATCTTTCAATATTTAAGAGGAATAGAAAATGAATGATAACTAGCTGATTTGCAGTCACAAAGAATACCAGTAGTCTTCATCAAAAGTACACTAGTAAACAAAGAATTAACAACAAAAGAATACATTTTCTTGGCTGCTATATTCATATCAACGAGACAATCAACAAGTTCATAAGCATCTGTCAAAGACAAGTTATATAATTTGTTGTGAATTGGGTTTTAAATGTTAGCTAACTATTTTGCCGGCTTATGTGTGAGGAATGGCACAGTGATAGAATTGGGAGTAGTGAAATGTCAATTTTATGAATCTTTGATAATTTATAAAGGTTTGGAAATTCAGATCCTACGGATTTTAGAGAATTAAACTTCTCTTTATCAGTGGTATTCATGCCAAGAAGTTTTCCTCGATTAGATTTTACTTTCCTAATTTTTAATATCATCAGATGGGACTTACAGTACGAATTTGCTTAATGCATCGGGAATAGACAACATCTTTGTTGTTTAATCACACGTAATTCTTCGCGAAATCCTTTAAAATTATCGATAGATAAAGGAGCTCGATTCTCCTCAAGTTTGCCGAAGCAATTTCTATCAAATGCCTGAAATCAGATTTATGTGTTCACAAAAAAGCAGTTATTAGTTTTCCTTGCCCTGGTAACTGGATGTCTTTATTCTTTCTCTCATTTGATTACGTAATCTTTGGCTTTAACCTCACCGCTTCGACATAATGTAATTTTGCTTGTCTCTTGTTTCGATGATTTGAGTTGAACTCAGTACATTGTGACTTAATTTATTAGTCACTCAGCATCTTACGCATCTCTCGTTCTTATTACGTAACGCCTTTACCATTGAATGCATACATTTATTTTTGTTTAAACTTGAACTGCCTGTGTAAAAACTATATAAGCGCAATTTTCTGAGCACTGTTTACTAATTGTGAAACTTTCTGTCAACTGACAACATGTAAAATTTGCAAGTATGTTAAAACTTTTCTGTAGGTAAACCTCATAATTTATTTAGGCTGTATGCTGGTGAGATGATGAGAAGCCAACGAAATAAACAGTGATGGTACCATATTATTCTGCACAAACCACTGTTTCTAAAATCTACTATTGGTCTTATGGGGTAGTCTGGCTTATGTATTTTAATAGTACCATATAATCTACTAGCATTATTAGTTTTAGGCATGAAATTAAACCATTTTGACACACCCAGTGATGGCTTCATTCTGCGTATTAGTTCCACTGTAGATTTCTTAACCTTATTCATTATTGTATCTACAGGCTTCTTAATTTCCTCATATGGACCCGTTTGAATATGTTCAATAACTTTTTTGATATGGCCATATTTATTCAAAACTACGGTGGCGTTTCCTTTGTCACCTTTTGAGATGACAATATTTTTATCCTGTTTTAGACTAATTGAAGCTTCTCTTTCCGATTTTGTTAAGTTTGATTTTGCCTTCTTTTGATTTTTCAGGGTTAACGCACATTGTGCTCGAATCTCTTCTACTGCTGTCTTATCTTTTGAACTTAGTGCTACTTCTATGTTAGGAATGACATCATCTGGTTTTAATTTATTAACTGTTTACGTTGAAATTGAGTCCTTTTTCAAGTACTTTCATCTCATTAGAGCTTAGTTCCCTTGATGAGAGGTTGATCACCCACTTTGTTCTGTCAACAGAGGATGAAACGCTGACGTCAGTTTCATTTCTTGTGTTCTTTTCTTCCATTAGTTTGTTGAATTTTTTTATTTGTGTTGTTGTTGTTGCTTTATTCAAATTACATCAGAAATATTGGTTGATGGAAGATAAAACTGAATCCAAGTGAAAGTACCTCTTTCTGATGTATTGAGATTTCAGCGAACGACAAATTTGTCATGTACTTATCATATAAATTGAGTCTGACAAGTATATCTATGATCAATTTGTTCAAAATGCATTGTACGGACACAACACCCCCTCTATTCCCAACTCTCTCCTTGCATCTCATCAGGTAGAAACAGAAATCAGTACAAAATAATATATGCTCGTACAACCAAGTATAGGAACTCAACGATACCATATTTGGCCCGTGATCTAAGTGACAGAGACAATGTTAAACGCGAACGAAACCTATGACTTGCTTTGTTGTTAATAGCATAAATTTGGCCCTTTTATTTCTCCTTTATTCTCTCTTATTTGTATTCTGCAGTAAGCAACCTTCTTAAACATACTTATCTACCTAAAATTATTATCATTGGCTTACTTTTTTATTCTTTATTCTATTCCTTCTTTTTGTTTATCTACTGGTCCTGACTATATTATCACTATGAATATTACAAAATTGTCCTGTCATTAACCATCATGTAATATTAGTTTTGTGATTGTTTTTTTTGTTCGGCAATATTAAACTGACAATCTTGGTTGTGAACACCGTTATCACCATCCTAAAAAATTTTGTATTATGCATACCACAACAAACACCGCATTAGTGCTGACAATAAAAAAACACCTGAAATGTTTATTTTATGATTGTTTAGTGTAGTTCAATCAAATTAACTGATCATCTTGGCTATAAACATTCTCAAGAACATTTCATAGCTTCTTGTATGATTATAGCTGTTAGTGTTCACCACGCATACATAAATCATAGCTTCCACTACCCAATACTGATATATTATTCATTATTGTTGTTTATCTTCCTTTCTACTTGGTATTTTTTTGCATTTTTTTGGTTATTTTTGTGCTTTTTGTTGTTGTTTTTTTATATTTATTTTTTGTAATACTCCTTTTATAAATGTGCGATGAAATTAGATGCAGTGTTGTAGATATGCGCTGAAAATTCCGCACTGTAACACTAGTACTGTTTCTGGAATTAAGCAAATTATTATTATCACATTGTTAAAATTAACTCCATCTTTTAGTAACGCACTCCTTTACCTCACTGAGCCAGAAGTAATGCTGGTAAAGAGGAAAGGTTGGGCATGAGGCTAGCAACCCCATCCTGTAAAATAAAAACACTGCTACAGAAACTTCAAGCCACTAGCTTGGAGCCCTATGTTCCACTGGGAACGTGAAGGAAAAAAAAAATTTAGTAACGCTACCTAAGTTGATTAAAGCAACTTATTATCACGAATTGTTATCATCATTATTAGTACTATTTAAACAAACTTAATATAGAATTACAGTATGCTATATTGCAGACACATCTTATGGATAAATTTCGACCAACACTATGGATCAGACAGTTACAAGTGCCATTCAGTAACCCATTTGTATTGATATTGCCTCATAATTAAACATAAAACATGGAAAGTAACTACACACAAACAAAAATAAACTTACACCTCGTTTTTCATAAATTAAATTCACTTTTTGCAAAATGCCAATATCCATATATCCAGAATATTTCATCTTTTGTCTTTTTTTACAAGAAATTTTGCGTGTTTCGTTGTTATTACTCTTAGCATAATTATGTTTTAATTCGCTTTGTTCAAGAATTGTTTCTAAAGGAGTTACATTATATTCATTATCAACTGTAACATAAGTTGTAGGAGCTTCACATATGGATGTACACATTACCCAAGAAGAAATCCCATCATAGGCATCTGTAAGGAAAGTAGGAGTAAATAATACGAAACAAAACAAAAAAACTAAAATAAGTTGTACACAGTTGTTCAGTACAGTAAAGTGAATGTATTACAGATATCCCTAATTTCCAGCAATGGAAGATGTTCTACTACTTTAGAACTGTCAGCCAGGTAAACGTGGATCTTAGATAAACATTAGTATTTTAGCTATATGTTGTCGTGATATGCCGACTGTAATTTGCGGTATTTTTAAGGGGCTTCTGAAGTATAATAATGACCTTTGGTGAGGTGAATATATTTCTTAACATAAAACTCTTCTTTAAGCATTGGTTTGTGGGGATTTGGTTGACTGGTTACAGGATTTCATCATGAGTTGACATCGGTTAGTAACCATTGGAAAACCACCAGGGAGTACTAGACAGCTGTTTCATCCTAGTTTGAGACTGTTAATCAATAGGCACCCTCAGGGGATCGAACCAAGGACCTCCTGGTTACAAGCCCAGCGAGTTCGTAGACCGTTAGACCACTAGGACTCGATCTACTGGCCCATAAATTCTAACTTCTGCCAATTCATGACATAGAGTGACCACTAAACAATGTCCTCGGCGAGTATTTTCCCTCACGCTCAACCTGCATTTCATTATTTACTCCTGGATATGTTTGCATACTGTTTGACCTGATGATATTGTTTAAAAATGGCATTTGTGGTCACTGAAAAATGTTAATAACAGATGTACGCTGTAATACGAATGTTGCATGATATTCATCAATTTATTGTTTTGCTGTGGTACACGTATTTCAAAGTTAAACACTAAAGTTTCGATCAGTTAAACCAGCTGATTTAGAATATATGCTGTTTTCTAAAAGCGTTTAATGCTGTCTTCAAAAATAAGGAGGACTTGTTACGAAATCTTATTTGGAACCTTAAAAATAAGTTATGGAACTTTAGCAAAACTGGATTTTTATAAATTTTAATAGAAAAGGGCCTTTATTAAAGACTGTGAGAAAAGAAGTCTGTATTTTAGAAGGCTAATGTATAACTTAGAGTGGAAATATGGAATTCATTGATGAGTTTAACAAAGTCGAATGTGAAGACAGTTTCATTTCCAACGTGTTGTAATAGCATAATATCAAACCGTACATTAGGAGAAATTAGTAAACATGAACGTTTGGACTTTGACCTCATGATGGAATCAAATGGGCTCATTGGGTTTCCGATATAGTTCACGTAATGTCATTGTCAGTAAGTCAGTGATTTGATAGTAGGATGATCGCCAGCTGTACAAATGGTGCTGAATTCAATTCCTGGCTGACAGACTTCTAAATCTCACCTAGTTTACTAGCCGACAGTAAGTTGGGAAAACAGGGGAGGTTGGGTGTGAGGCTAATAATCCCATCCAGTAGAAATTAAACCCCTATTGAGAATTCAAAAAGCTTGAAGTTCTGCGCTTCACTTGGGACGCAAAAGAATGAAAACGAATGTCTTTATCATACCACTTCAAATTGAAGTATGCGCTGAAGATGTCGTCTAGTAGGGCGATGAAAGCTTCGCAAATCAACCATCCAGCTCAGAGAACACAACCACATCAAAATCATCCACCTGAGCTACAAATCTTCTCTATCATATCATACCATTGTGCTAGACGAATTGCTTCATCAGTCGGTTTTTGACTAATGAATCACAAACATAATACACAAAAAGCATTAATTCAGTTAATCACACAAAACAAAACGGTGATTATGAATTAATGAAGAATGAATGTTAGAAAAAAAATAGGCTAAATCATGAGTAACACCTACATAAGATTTTGATCTTGATGACTTCTTCTGTGCAGAACGATTTGTGTATTTACTGGTAGAACAAATAATCAATGTTGACCCACAAACTGGAGGCAGATTATGCTGGATTGATAATTCTAAAGCTGTGTTTAAAGCCTTTTGATATCGATCCAACAGTTTGGCATCATATGTCCAACGTCTTTTAAGAGTAATAGCATTAAGAAAATGAAAACGATTCTAATCAGTCATCTAGCAATAAAAGTGACTAATGGTATTAAAATAATAAAATAACACACAACTATCATTGAAACAATGTATATAGATAAATTATCTAGAAAACTTAAAATGCTTTATTGCTTACTGTTAAAGGCACTCTAGTAAAGCATGCAAATGTAACAGCTTGTACAGAAGATAGAAGAACCACTGTTTGCTGCGCTTCGTTTTGCTGTTGTTATTGTTCATGACATACATGCAAGTAATAACCAAACAACTATTAAAGACGATAAATTATTATGAACCAACAGGTGTTATCCTATCACCTTTCAAATCTGGTTACTAAATGGAATAAGAAACTCTTCTTACTTTTCAACGAAGAGAGAAACAATAGCTTAAGCTAACTAAACCATAAAGTAGTATATTTGGCCTTCTTCACCGAACCAAGTAACTAATGATATGCTGGCTAGAATTTATTGTGAAATTTTACTACACCGAAAGAAATACAGTTAGATTCATATAGTCTGCAAAAATTATATATATATAGTGTTTCACCGATGAATTTACGACAAAAACTGAGTGATCATAAGACAAAAAGATACGTAGTATTATGTCACCTTAGTTCACTTACAACACTATTATTACTTTTCCCTTGGGTTCCAAGTGGAACATAGGGCTTCAACAACACATCTCCACTTTATTCTATTTTCTGCTGTCCTCTTCAGCTGGGCCCACAAGTGCCTATAATCTCTCACACCTCCTTTACACATGCTCTACTCCATGTCACCATCTCACCGACGACCCACTCGTCACTTCTCATTTGGATTCCAATCGAATGATTAAAAATTAAAATGTCAGAGTGACAAAACTGTACTTTGTGATCTATCGAAAGATGTTATAAATTATTCACCTCAGTGTTAACTGTCGAGAAATTTAAATTTAAACTACATTATCAACTATTGATTTTTGTAAGGATTTTGTTTGACTGGTTGGAGGATTTCATCATGAGCTGACATCAGTTAGAGAACAATTGGAAAACCTGGGAGTACTGAACAGCTGTTTCGTCTTGGTCTGTGTCTATTCATCAGTACACACCCACAGGGGGTCGAAACCAGGACCTTCTGGTTACAAGGCCAACAAGCTCGTAAACCATTATGTCACTGGGACCCGATCGAATGGCTCGTGAATTCAAACTTCTATCAAGTCACAACACAGAGCGACCACTTCGTGATGTCTTCTTTGATAAGTTACTGCCTTACCTTCAACCTGCTGCACTCTACCGGTACGGCTTTCCACTAGAACTTGAGGTAATCGCCTGAAAAGGACCAGTTGCTAGAAAGCATCAGATCAATTTTCAAGTATTGGTTTTCGTAGTGATTTTGTTTAACTGATTGGAGGATGAAACAGCTGTCCAGTACTCCCAAGTTTTACAATAGTTCTCTAACTGATGTCACCTCACAATGAAATCCTCCAACCAGTTAAACTAGATTAGTTTACTGAATACAGTTCTGTAAACCGGATGGAGTTTTATGCCCAATTCATTTCTCATAACCATAGCAAGAGTAAATGGTTACGCAATACATCGACTTGCTATTAGATACATTTTTCTAAACGATGCTTTTTAACTAGACGAAAATGAAATTTTTAGCGATCAGGCATATCCAAAAGATTCTATCCATGAAATTTCTAATAAACGTGTAACTTCATTTGCTGAAATGCACAGCAACATAATGAAGTACTGTTTTATTTATTATATCATAAAATGCTCGCTATTATCTGTTTATATGAGGAGATTTTAAGAATGCTAAAAATTTTGCAAATAACCAGCTTATACTGAAATGGTTTTTTTTTCTTCATCGGGAATCGATCTGTTTTAACTTTAAACGATTCTCCTATGGATATAAATGTAGTATTAGAATGAAATGGAAAAACTGTTATTTGCATTTCAAGACACTAGAGTTAACAGAGATATATTCAAACTACACAAGTAATGACTGTTGTCCGTACAAATATTTGTTTGATACGAAGTTTCAAAATATTACCAAACTAACAAACTAATTTACTGTTATGATTGATTACGAAATGAGTGTTTGTCAGTGCGTCATTGAAAAACTAAAGAGGCTAGAGATGCACACTTAATTTAGGAAAATTAATTAATAGCTGACGAGTAGTTCTAGTCATACTAATTAACTGTTAGTTATGCCACTACTTTTTGGCTAAACAAGACTATATGAGAAGCATGGAATTATTAAGGATAGATGGTAATTGCAATAAATGAGGGTAGAAATTCTTAGTACAAGTCTTTAATTAATTTAGATGAAGGAAGGAAATACTACCACATGCTAAAGAAATCTACTAAATTTGTTTGAGGTCATTACGAATACCCTGAAACTGATATCGTACACTCTGCATACCTGATAGCTGAGGAAATGAAATTATTGAAATGCTTAGCGTACCAGTGACCGAAAACTGGATGCTGCTATTCAAAAGAAGTTAAAGAGTTGCCTTGGATGTCTGCATAAAATACCGCACGGGAATTTTGTATGCCGTACACAGTTTGTGTTTTATGAGATATAGCAGAGATACAAATTACTTTCACAAAGGTATACTTATTTGAGACTCTTATTTCACATGACCGTAAATACCTCTAACAGATATTTTTAATGGTCAGTCTGCGCACATAGTGAAGCAGAAAGACTTCGGATACAAAAGAATACGTGATGTTATAGAGACGAATAATGACACTTATTATTCTAGAAAGAGTTTTAGTGTTTTAATCTTGAAGATTCATTATATTTTCAGTCAAATGAGACGGCTTAATACATCATGCAAATGTTAAGATTTTATAGCATCATCAAATATAAGTTATTTAGAAAAGCTGATAGATGTATAGAAAAACACAGTGACATAGAATACGTGTATTCATGTAAGCCCAGCTAAACTCTTCAAATCTCGAATTTTCCCAACGAATTATATGTATTTTACAATTCAAAGAGTGACCGACTACAAGGCATCGATTGAAATGATAGCGGGGAAAATGAACAGTTGAATGAATAACGTTTATATCCTTTATAACAAATGAGGAAAAATAATAATTAATAGCTGCTTCGTTGATATTTCTACCGATTCACCAACATTTTTAATAGATGAGTTTTTATATAAACAAGAATGACAGTGAAACACCACTTTACCATCAGTAGAGAGAATTGACAGGCTTCCGAATAATCTAAGGAACTTTAATAAATAGGTCGAAGAATATCTGGTATTTGAGGAATTTCTTGGATAGCTAAAACATCTGTCATTACTTCTTCCCACCAATTTCAATAATATGACGAGGCTTCTGTCGCTAATTACGAATTTCTGACTTCTGCCTATTGGCTGATCGAGTACTGATCCTCAATATTTTTGATTACAAATTAGAATACAATTAGCCGTTGTCAAATGAAAATAATCTTCCATAATTTGAATATCGTATTTATAATTTTTAAAGTTATATAAATAGAACAACCATGAAATTACCAACTTTTAGATGAGAAAATGAAACACAATAAAGTATAGTGCTTACATCAAATTAACTTTTCTAAGATAATCTTCTACCCATAAATATTTTTTAGTCAGTCTTCTGGGTACCGTCCTGAATCGTCTATTAGATTTTTCTAGAAGAAGTGGGTAAAATAATATGAGCTACAAAATATATATTGATATTAAATTCAATATTTTCATTGTAAAAGAAACAATCTCATGATAGTCTAGTCAGGTGGAAAATATAAATAACTGTAGCTAAAAAGCGGTAAACAAGCAACTGAGGACACTTTAATTTCTAAATACTACTAATAAAACTTATTAGTTTTGGAGTTCCAGCTCTTGCACGCATCCGCCGGGGTTTGAGCCCAAGATCTTCCGGTTATATATATATATATATATATATATCGAATTGACGGAATTCGGAATTCCTTGGCTATTGGGTCGGGTTCCAGTGACTGTATGGTCAATGAGTTCTCCTTTTAACCGAAAGATCCTGGGTTCGAAACCCAGCAGATGTGTCCTAAACTAGAATGAAACGGCTATCCACTACTCCCTGATTCTTCAGCGGTTCTCTAACTGATTTCGGTTCATAATGAAACCTGCAACCAATCATATCCTTGCAACCCAACACTTGAAAACTAGCTATTGTAGCTTGGCAGTCAGTACTAAAATAGTTAGTTTTGTGAAAGACAGAATCGTATGTTTTCGGAATAATTCATGCTGATCAGTCGAATGACTGCTCTTCACAGGACCTAGTGTTTTACTTGTTCAGATACTTTCTCTCTGTCAATAAAGCATGCGGATGAAGCTCAAACTCAGGAAATTGACCAGGTGATCAGAATAAACTATACTCTCCAAGTACATGCAATTAAGCGAAATCGATAGCATTTGTTCACAACAATTATGAACAAATTAAGAATGGACATTTCTGTATGACTATAGTAGTGTTTCCTGATGATAATAATACCATTCTACCCTTCTGTGACTAAAACATTAAACTAGTTCAATAGCAATAATTTACCTGATGAGTCGATTCAGATTTCTTTTATTATACCTTAAAACCACACAGTATTTTTGGTTCAGGTGTAGAATTTTCAGCATATGATATTGGTAGCCCAAGCTTTGCAGGCCAACCATTGATATCACGTGTGCGCCAGCAGGGCATCGAACCCCGGACCATGTGCATGGTCGGCAAGAGTCCTAACCACTATGCCACCGACGCACACATATAACATATATCACAATCGAATTCACAATATCACTTATGAAATTCATCTCACTTCAGTAACTTCAATTATTTCATTGTAAATCCTAAGAGCATTTTGACAAAGTGGCAACAATGATGGTGAGTGTGCAAATGAATGCATCAGTGCATAGACAGATATGGAAATATACGGTTCTTAAGTTTAATGTTTTATTTGGCTTCTGTTTAGTTCTGTTTTCTAGAAATATATCACAAAAATAAGTATATTAACAAGCGAAATGGTCGTTAATCTGATTAGATTATTTATTATTATCTTTTATTTTATTCTTTTACGTTCACAGTGGAACATAGTGTGGTGAGAGCGGGCTGCTAGCCAATCGGTAGACATCAATTTACGTCAGTGTCTAGGCCACTAATATTGGCCGTGAGAAAATATGAACAAGGCTAATTCAACAGCCAATCACAGCAGACTTAACGTGGGCAAATAAGATTCGCAAATATGTGGCTTAACTTTCCGAGAAACCAGGAACAACCAATCAGAAGACGGTGTTTGTCTGCTTGAATAAACTATAATAATGTACATGAAATATATATAAATACGTGCTGATTTCCGTAATAAAACGATCTGTTGCCTGGCCCTTGTCTTCTGTTGTTACAATAGGACTTCATGCTAGAGATTTGAAGTTTCGGTAGCAGTGGTATTTATTGTTACAGGATGGGGTAGCTAGCCTCATAGCTAACCTTCCCTCTTTAAGAGTTTTATCACTTGCTTAGTAAGGTGAAGCAGTGAATCAGCCGGGGATTGATCCTCGAGCCGCCGATCACGCAGGTGGTTCGGGGTTCGATCTACACATGAAAGTTGTCAACACTCATCGGTTGGGCGTATACAAAACCTTGAGAAGACTCGCGTTTCCTATCATACTCATATATGCATCACACAGTCAGATACTTTGAGAATTTGTCATATCCAGTCAGATTCTAGGTTAATATATATATAATATATATTTTCATACTATTATTCACTTATACGGAAAACACCAGAAAGTTATCACATGTAACAAGTAGGGAAAACAAGTATTATTGGTAGCAAGCTCAAGCAATCAAACTTACCTTGCATCGCCCTTAAATATCGTGTTAACACAAACTCAGTTTTTAATTTATGGATGGTATTAAAGGCTGTGAAGTAACGAAAAGGGAACTGCTTTCCATCAATGATAATACGCTACCAAAAGAAAAAAGAAAAAAGTAGCGAGATTGAGCTCACAGTTCATTTCATTCGTCATAAAAACACCACAAACGGATGCAGTCGAATTTTAAAAGTGTTAACTTCGTATTGAGTTAATATTATATCAAGGGGGGCACAAAACTGTTTTCGTAAGATGTTTACGTACACTCTGAATTAGCAATGTAGCTCATGATTTTTTTAAAATTGAAGAAAGGAGAGATTTGTAAAGTAAGAAAGTGAAACATGTTGATAAATTTCATACACTATCACGTAAGAGATAGGTTCCACTCCTTTTACTATGAAGTAAACAGAACGAGAAGATAAATACTCAGCATAATAGGTTATTGGCTCATTTATGCAACCAGTTATGATAAGTAAACGGTCAAGAAACTACATTTCTTTTATGAATGAAGTCAACTGTCAGAGACTTCTGACTGTATTATGCTAGACTCAGCATAACCGGTCTGAACGGATATTTCAGGGTGCCGAGAACAAGAAAAAAATTAAAAATATAAATACCGAGCTGATAGCTATCCAAAAGGCAATACTTTTGAACAACAGAAGTTAAAGAAACATGATAATTAATCAGAGGATTGTAATAGACAGTGCACGGAAATGTTCATCAACTATTTTAAGAAATCAAGTATCGGGAAGAAATGCAACTATTGTTCCCATAAAGTATAAAAGAGTAAAGTTTTGCGAACTTAGTTTCGAGACCTTGGTCATACTAAAGAAATTTTTCATCAAGAAATACTACCACTGAAATTCGTGAGACAATAAACACCAGACAGCTATTTATCTCTGATGTATGAGTAATGGCAGTAAGGGTCCTTAGTCTTAATATTGATTGAATTCACAAACAACAACTTCTTGCTGATGGGAAACAGAATTATAGTTGTAGGATTGACAAATTCAAAAAACTTTCTAAGTGTGGTAATATAGCACTGTTACTAATAGACATTTATTCAGAACAAGGATCGTAAGAGAGAACAAGTGTTTTCAATAAATTCATCATTATCTACAATTATAAATTCATTAATTTTAGTATACGATAGCCAATAAAGGCAAATTACAATTGTCTGTCTGTCTGTCTGTTTTCGACATAGAACTTTACACAAATGTGCGGAAGCTCAAGTCACCACACTCCGTGTAGCACGCGAAGCAAGAGAAGAAAGTACAACAAAAGCATAATAGAGACAGCGAGCAGATGTGTGAGACAAAGGAGTAATAAAGAAAAACAAAACAGTTTCATTGGAGATCATAAGTCACAAGGAGTGGATGCATCTGAGCCACTGAGAACGATTTTGAGCCATGTCACCAATTGTTTCCAACCATAGATTTTTACCGTCCCGAGGACCCCAGCCTGGAAGTCTACACCTTCCTACGTGGCTTAGACCAACTGTTGTGGATTTCATTGACTGGTGCCATGATTCTGTTTGACCGCCGCTAGCTTTTTTCCAGCCTGACCCTATGTGAGCTAACATTGCTCGTCGAGGAAGGCGATGACTTGGCATACGTAACACATGTCCTAACCATCTCAGTCTTTGTAACTTCACGACTTCGTCGATTGATTTCCCCTGTTTACCAAGAACTCTACGCCTAACCTCAATGTTGCTCACCTTATTATGCCACTTTACACGGGAAATAGAGCGCAGGCACCTATGATCAAAGACAGCTAGTCTTTTCATGTCTTCCACTCTCAGTGGCCAGGTCTCACAACCATAAAGGAGGACGGAGCGGACTGATGAGCAGTACACCCGCCCTTTGGTCGATAGTCGAACATCTCGTCTACGCCAGAGTCGGCGTAAACTGGCAAATGCGAAACGAGCCCCCTGTATTCGTGCTGAGATTTCGTCAGAGATCAGCCCGTTGGCTGGCTGATGGTACTTCCCAAATAAGTGAAGCGGTCAACGTGCTCTACCACTTCACTTCCTATTTTTAAACTAGGCGTCGATGTAGTCCAGTCCTGTAACATCATCTTGCATTTGGCGGGAGCGAATCGCATGCCAAACATTCGTAGATTGCAGCTCAAGGTGTTCAGAAGACTGCATTTTGTCAGCGTCTTCGCCTAGAAGGACTATATCGTCTGCATATTCCAAGTCAACGAGATTATTCCCCAGTAGCAAGTCAATCCCTGAGTCGCTGAAGTCACTTAGGGTTAAGTCCATTAACACATCTATGATGAAGTTGAATAGAAAAGGAGATAATGGGCATCCTTGACGGACACCACTGGTCGTCATCAGTTCAGATGACAGCTCGCCGTAAGCCCTCACCTGGCTGTATGAGTACGAGTAGAGTGCCTTAATCAGTGCAATATATTTTCTCGGAATTCCCTTTACAGCCAAGCATCTCCAGAGAACTTCTCGATCGACAGAGTCGAATGCTGCCTTTAGGTCAAGAAATATAATGACTGTTGGACGCCGGTAGGAATCCCTATGTTCTAGAATCTGTCGGAGGGTGAAGATATGATCAATACACCCTCTTCCTGGTCTAAAGCCTGCCTGGCTTTCTCGTGTTTGTGCCTCCCGAGCACCACTTAGTCTACGCATGATTATTGAGCCTAAGACTTTAGATACTATATTAGTCAAGCTAATCCCTCTGTGATTATCACAGGAAGACTTGTCTCCCTTCTTGTATATGGGGATAATCAGTGACTTACACCAACCCGATGGGACTTCTTCTGATTCCCAGACGCTGCCTAGTACCTCAGTTAATGCAGACAGTAAGCTGTCTCCACCGTACTTAAATACCTCTGGAGTCATTCCATCAGGTCCCGCTGCTTTGCGTAGTTTCAGACTGGTGACAGCTTTAGTAACCTCAGTTAGGGATGGAGGACCTGTGTCTATATCCCATTCAGGGAGGTGTTGGATGCTCGGAAGGTTGAGCGTGGCTGTGGCCCAATTAAACTGCTCCTCATAATGCTCTTTCCAACGATCCAGTCGTCTATCTTGGGAGCTAATTATAGTGCCAATTACAATTGTATCAGAAAGTGTATTATGGTACAGGTATAATATAGAATCATACCCAGTGAATTTTGATAATTATTTAAAACTATAAGAATGTATAATAAATAAGAAAGTGAGATGAAATGAAGTTAGATAGCTCAATAGCGTGTTTGTATATTGACAATCAACAAAAAGGATAACTTTCAAAGGGATACACTAGATATTAGTTTAAGGGTGACAATTTATTTGAACTTCTAAATTTAACAGCCCTATAGACAATAACCTATAATTACACAAGTTTCATTCAGAAGCATAGTTGTTCACTCTAATCGTCTGTGGCATAAAAAGGAGCAAAAGTTTTAGTTTATCGTAGATTTATTATTTGCATTTAGTGGAAACTGCTTTTAAATCCAAATTATGTTTATCCACTGATAAGACATGGAAATTGGTTAGTACTGCATGATTTAGAAGATTTCAATTAACAGTAATACAAAAACACTAAGAAAGTGACCCTGACTGTCTCTAATAGTTTATTAGCCTAACTACCAACCTTAATTCATTGAATTTTTGATTTTCCCGTCGATTGATTGAACCGAAGTGCACGGTCTCATGTTGACATGTCGGCTTCTTGTGCAGATGCTTTGACGATGTCTGGGCATTTAATTAGTATTTAATTGGTGGATGGTGGCTAGCAGTGGAATCCAAGATGCGCGTTTCGTCCTATTTGGGACTCGTCAATTGGATGTACCTGCATTTCTCAGTGAGTGATGATGTTTCCACCTAGGCTCTATCCCCAGTGCCCATAGTTTCACTGGGTTCAAGTCTCGGTGGGAACATCATTACTCACTGAGAAATGCAGATACATCCAACTGACGGGTCCCAAATAGGACGAAATGCGCATCTTGGATTCCACTGCTAGTCACCATCCACCAATTAACTACCAACCTATTAAGAAATAAGACGAAAGAAAGACCAATTTCGAGTGGTGACAAGTAGGCGAATTCCATGAGTATTATATTAAGCGATCTCACGGTATCTTATGGTTGGATTATTCAAAATGACAATTTTGTGAAAGTCTTAGGTAACAAAAACAGTAAATAGACTAAATTTTAGGCAAATAATGAAACATATATGTCCAAACCAAGTTCACTTTTAACAATTTGAAAAAATTTGGGCATTGGGTATATGATATTAACTATAATAAAGGTTTTTGTATTTCCCAATGAATGGAAAACAAAACGATATTGTTTTAACTGACGTTTCATTAATCGGGAAATACAGAAACCTTTATTTTATTATTATTTTTTTTATTTTTTATTTACAGCTTGATTCCACACTGTATTTTTGGTACAAGTATGGAATTTTCACCATGGATATCGGTAGCCCAAATTTCGCAGGCCGACCATAGATATCAGGTGTGCGCCGGCGTGGGCTCGAACCCCGGACCATGTGCATGGTCGGCGAGAGTCCTAACCACTATGCCACCGACGCACAATAATAAATAATGAAATAAACTGCAACTTGACTAACACATAACAGCATCGATTGTTTTTACTATGATCATAAGTAATCAATTGTTAACCATTTAAGAATGAAGTCGATTAGCACAAAAACATATTTTCTACTTTTCTAAGCAGATAAACTCATTAGTTTAGTAAGTCTCTTTGTCCTATATTGGTAGTATTACATTTCCGTCGTCATATTTAGTATGCTGTGTTAAAGTATGGAAATTTCAACTGAGGGATATTTACCTAAACTTTTATGGTGATTACTCAGTCATTCTAGAATGTTAAAAGTATTTTCAGAAAAAATAAACACAATAATCATAGATATAAATAAAATGAAATAATTTCAAAATAACAACTTACAGCATCCGTAAGTCTTTTCAATACTATTTCATGGATAGAGTTAGGTATACCAGATTTTAGGATATTTCGTAGATTTCTTAACATCGCCATATGTGGTACTTTATTAGAAGCTTTAAATATTGATAGAAAATGAAATAAAAGCTGTTTATAATATCATTTAAAGTAGAACTGAGTGAAGAAACAATGTATAAGTATGAATTTACACAGTAACTGATCAAACAGATAGTTAGCAGATCTGATGCTTTGAGCATTTAATGACGAACAGTATTTTTCACGAACAAATGGCTTTGAAAGTCATCTGAATAAATACAAATATCAAAATCACGTGGTTTCATCCATGTTAACATGCAATCTATTACAAGGGATATTACATTCAGAAAATTAAAACGGAATGATCAAATGAGATGTGGACTGATGGCATCCAGAATGTCAGCAGATTATTTCAAAACATTTAGGTGACTGTTGTTAAAATGCCAGTAAGTACAAACCTCAGAAGGGCATATTTTTCTTATTTCATTCACTGATTTTAAAATATTTAACACTAAGGTCTCTGCATAATCCTAAAGTTTTTACCTATGTTTCCGTCGCTCATTTACTGCTGCACAGCTAATCGTTAGGACTATGACAGTTCATCTCTTAGTGTATCACTACATTTTTCTGCAGTTGAAAATGTCTGACGATGTAACGTTGTTCAAATACATGAAAATAAATGTGTCTAAATTCTAGTTCACTCACAATCCTGTGAGGGAATGACCCAGCAGTATGTCATATATTACGAGTGATTGTAATAATAAGCTGTAATTTTTTTCTTTCACGTTCCTAGTGGAACATAGGACTTCATGCTAGAGATTTGAAGTTTCGGTAGCAGTGGTATTTATTTTTACGGGATGGGGTTGCTAGCCTCATGTCCAACCTTATCTCTTTACCAGAATTATTTCTGGCTTAGCGATGTAAAGGAGTGCGTCGGCCGAGGATCGAACCCCGGGCTATGTGCATGGTCGGCGAGCGTCCTAACCGCTGTGCCACTGACGCACATAAGCTGTAATTGGTTTAACTACAGAGTCAAGAATAACCTATCAAAGGCAATACGGTTTCGTCTTCTTTGTATCGCTGAAGCTCTGGCCATTCACACAAAAAAACCGGAGCTGTGCATACAAAAGAAGACTACTCAACCACTTCCACTGTCATGGTAACAACTTTTTTTGGTTTGATTTGATTTGAGTTTTTTTGATTTTGATGACATAATTTTGTGTCTTTGCTTGTTCTTTAATTGCATGGAGGATTTAATCATGAGCTGACATCAGTTAGAGAACCACTGGAAAATCTGGGACTATTGGACAGCTGTTTCGTCCTAATTTGCGACTCTTCAGCAGTACGCACCCACCGCCAGGGTTCGAACCCAGGACCTTCTGGTTACAAGGCGAGCTCGTAAACCATTGAGTCACTGGGACCCGATCCAATGGTCCTTGAATTCTAAATTCTGCCGGTCAATTATCGACATAGCGCGACCACTTCGCAATGTCTTCTTCGATGAGTTACTGCCTCACCTTCAACCTGCTGTACCCTACTGGTCACGGCTTCTTTAATTGCTTAGAATCCTTGTATTCATTCAGAACTCTTACGTAATTTCGTATTATCTACTTTGTTTCTATGCGCATCCTGAGTAAAACTCACTCATCAAACTAATCATATTATTAGATAACTTCTTTTAACAACTGATTGTGACAACTCATCTTTGTTACTACCCTAATATCATTAACACCTAATTTTCTTAACTTGTATTACCAATCTTCACCTGTTTAGTTAAAATAACCACAACCAACTGTAATTTTGTTTGACAAACTTAATGTACACATACATACAAAATAACACATATATATTTGCGATTGTACAGCTAAGAAAATGAATTCGCCGTAGAGAGTCTCTTCGCTGATCTACGTGTTTTGTTTTACATTAATGCCTGGATGGGGATTATCCATGAATTAACTATATGTGCCTAACATTTCACTTACCGTATTATTTATACAAATCCAAGCCATCTTGACTTCTGTCAGTAATGTAATACAGTAAATGGGGCGTACAACTTACCAAGTAGTTATTCGTAACTTGTATAGTGATTAGATGAGTGAAATCATCTAGTGGGGTGTCTTTAAGACGTCTTGTGAATATAAGTTAGTCGCATGATCCCCAATCAAACTAATATTTGACCAAAACATTATTTATATGGAAATATTAAGTCAAATATTATTTTCTTTGAGTGGTCCAGCAGACTGCAACATACACAGTGAAGTAAGATGCAAAAATGGTGAATAACTGGCATTCCAGTCACCATTAGTAAATCTTAAGTACAAAGGTTATGGAATGAGCAAGATAAAATGTACACACTTTCATTTCTTGTTTTAATCTAAGCCATCACATCACTGTCTTTTGTTATCATAGTGATGCTGAAGTAATCAGCCATCTTAAAGGCTTTCAAAACTTTCACTCTTTACTGTAATTTCCTGTTAAAAAATATGAATAAGCAAAACTAATTTGAAACACTGTAAAACTTACTGATAAGTTTTGTCCAAGAGTTTGCGTTATTACCATTGACAGACAATTCTGTTTCCCAAGTTAGGGGAACAGGAAGCTTCATGCGTTTTCCTGCCTTAGACTCATCCCAATCTCCTTCCAGTCCCATACGGATAAAATCAGTAGCATCCAATGGATACTTTTTACCAAGAATGCACATCACATTGAATCTAGGACTTGATATATGCAGTCTACGAATAATATCTTTCATAGTAAAATAAACAGGAGGTGAGTTTGTCAACCTATGAATGAAGGTATACACCTGTGTATCCATTGTCTCACCAAACGGTTGTTTTATTTGCAGCTAATACGGGTTCACAAACAGATAAACAATAAATTACCTTCGATTTCGCAGAACGATTCGCTCTTGCTTTGTGCCTACAGTGTTTAGCTGCAAAGATGAATTTAGGAAAACCATATCTTACCTAGTTGGTACTGATCGAATTCAGAAAATTTCTCAGTCAAATTCTTTCGTAAGACTTTAGGCATCCCTTTCAAGGGTGAATTACCACTGATTACCTACAAAACATTATATTGTAACACAAGATCTTACTGCATAATATTCAGTAACTTCCAACCAGTCTGATGGTGTACTAATACAAGCTGAAAAATACTTGCTAACAAAAGCTTGAGATTTTTCGTGAAAGCAAGCACTTGCTATTAACAGGTTAGTTGTAGTACGTATATTGAGCTCTCTACGGCAGTACAAAGCTGCCTGAACACTAAAGCAAAATGTTTATGAGTTACCTTAAGTATGAATTCTGGATCCTTACTGACACAAGTTTGAATCAGCTGTCCTAAAATCTTTTTCCTCTCCCTTGACGGAATTCCATCAACAATAGAAGAAGATATGCAGCTAATTAAGTCTATCTGTAAGTTTGCTTTTGTCAAAAGGAGTATCCTAATATACCTTAGGCTGCCTGCAGGTGTCTTTGCATTCGTTTATCGATAAATCAAATTTATCCTGAACAAGTTGTTTTTCTGCAGTTTCACCACACCCACAATCAAATATATTCTGTGGTAGGACATCTGAAATTTTCACGACAGCATTCTGTAACCAATCAACAGGTTGGGATTTGAATGTAGTATAGTCATCAGTTGGCTCTTTTGTGCTGCATTCATCATGAGTAGGGTTAACTGTATCTTTACGACAAGGAGTCAAAATATGATTTTCGGTTTGGAATCTTAAAGTTGACAATAATTTGTTATCCGTTGATAGTACAGGTAGAGTATCAGCTGTTATAAAGTTTCTCTGGAGTATTGTATTCTCTAAGAGCTCATTTTTCACCAAACATTCTCCTTTTAAATAAACAGGTGATGACAACAAATGTGATCCTTTAGTATGTCTGTATTCATAATCCATCTCTAAATAGTAGAAGTCTGATGTGCTGTTGGATTATTTTAACTGCAGAGGAATTTGTCAATGATTATCTACTGGGAATAGGTTAGAGGGTTTTCAGTGTATAATCTAAAATTTTAAAAAAACAAGAGGGTTCGGTAAAACACATGAATAAGTGAAACGATAGGTAAAACATTTCCAGCGACATGAAGATTTAGAAACAAAAACAGATTAATGAATTTGCGGCGAACTACTAAAGCAGGTTAATTGAAATTACAGGGGCTGTCAGAAAAATCTAGTTTTAGATTCACATCACCACTTCTCATGTTATGATTTCGACGGATAACTTTATGTGTGATTTGTATTTGTTCTGTTCAGTTAACAAAGAAGATATCCACGCATGTTTCAAAACTAGTGATTAATGATGAATTTTCCATATTTTATCGTACTTCATGTAGGATAGTCTCAAATTTATAAATGACTTTCTTCTCATTACCCTAACTGTCACTCCTGTTCATGAGAATTATGTTTCAAATAGGCAAATCAGAATCTCATTTAAACCCTAAGTGTATACCAAGAAATATAAACTGGACGGGAAATAACCTAAAGAGTAAAACAGTTTTCTGTACGACGAAAACACAAGTTAATATTTTGGATAGCATGAGGCTTAAAAAGCAGATTATTGTGTGCGGACATTTACCGGTAAAACCATAAAAGGCTAGGATTAAACCTGTTAATCTATGTGGACATAGTAAATAAAATACAGTACAGAAAACTAGAAGTAAGTTGTATAAACTCTATTGTTTAGTCACCAATTACCAACAACGAACTAAATTTATTTCATAATTCAAGAACGACGCAACATAACACAGTATGAGAGTGAATATATATATATATGAATCATGTCAAGTAACAAAAAGAATCCCAGAGTAAATACAGACCACTGTTTTCGGTTCTGTTCTGTGGGTAAATTTCAGAGAAAATTATAGGCATTTAAATATTTTGCCTGATAAAAATTGGGTGTGGAACAGCACAAGCTGCATTCCTGTTTGAGCAGTAGATTACATATAATGCCACTTTTAATTCGGCGGGGTATGTAGATAAGCGGTGTGATAAGATAGATATACTTAGAGAAAAGGACTAAAACTGTGACTCCTTGATCACTACTGCAGGGAGAAATATATGGAAGAGGTTAGGAAAACAAAAAGAGAAACAGATTCAGATAGAGACAGGGAGTTGCTTTGCAAAAGGACGGGATATTAGGTGAAATTTTTTATTAGACCTTATGAACTATCTAAAATTATTAAGTACGTGTTACAAAAGTGTACATAAATATGATGCACCTTTGTTTATTAACCAATATGAATTCATCTAAAGGATAGAGATACATGAAAATTCAACCAATCAGTACAATTAATGCAGTTCAATTAATCTAGAAGGAAGAAATCGGATATTATTTTGTAGCACACGTTTCTTCACAGACTACAAAGTCACAATTTATGAAAGTAATTGCAGTTTGCCCTATATCATCTGTCACAGGGGCACATTTATCATAATTGATGTTATACCACTGGAATCAGAGGCACAAACAAAATACCACATTAATTTATTCTAGTATCTAGCTTCATATGGGAAAACGGTGTGTATGTCTGATTCTCATAACGGAGTGCAAAGTTTTAAGTGAAGATGATTGACAGAGGTCATATATCACTAGCAAACAAATAACTTCGAAAACTCAATAGAAGTGTCTCGATAATAGCCGATTACATGTTCTAAGAAGTAATGCTTATTAAATCACATACATATTACTGTTTTTACGGGATAATAATGATCACAACACTAGAGGTGATAGGGTATATAAAAAAAAACTAAGAACCTGCTGTTACTACAGCAGAATATGCATAAAACACTGAATATCGTTTGAACAGCGGTTCAGTAAGGTGAATGCGACTGGATGACAGTTACCAGTTCACCAGCCTGTATTAGAATTAGGCCTGATTGGTCAGATATAAATGCACCTAAGTAAGATCGAAATCACCTTGGGACCCAGAGGAGTAACGTATTTAACTACATGGCCTTCTGTTGGGTGTTACAGCTCTGCAAGGATCGGATCGGATTTAATACAAACCGTTACTGTTATTAACATCAAAATGACAGTGTCGGTATACTCAGTGGTATTAATTAATTTACTTACAGTAATGTTTTTTTTACAAAACAGTAATTCTTATGTTAAGTCACTCAAGTCTGGAGACCGACGGTTTTCTTCACCCAGAAAACATAATAATAATAATCTACTTCATTCCAAAAACAGTACTTATAATACAGAATGGAATTCTCAGCATTTGTCACAATATTGCATCTGATTTACTTAAAATATAAATAAAATTAAAACCAAAATCAAAGTAACCAGAGGATTTTGTCCACGTTTACGATATAAAGTCAAAAATATTCAAAGCACGTATTGAGATCATTAAATATAATAATAATAATAATAACAGTGAGTTTGTTTCAAACAGTATTGTCGATTCAGTTTGGAAATTTTAGCATGTTATTATAGAGTACTGAATCTAATGTTCTGTTGATGTAGTATAGTGAGGGGAAATACAAGTTTAACAATGGTAACACAGCTTAAACGATGTTCACACTTATGAAAAATAAATAAATAAAAATAAAAAAAATTGAGGGGATTATAAATATAAGAAATACAATAACAATAAAGTTTGGTACAGTAAGGGTGGAAGACTTGGTTTATTTAGTAGTGCAAAGAAGGTTAGTTAGTTCATGCCTGACACCATTTTCATCACACAAAGTACTTGATAAATATGGTATAGAGGAATTTTTATACTTAGACGTCCATGCATAAAGTCTTCTGAAAAGACTTCTTGTTTTACCTGAGGAGACACAAGGTTGGAGCTGCTGTGGTGTAAAGTGAATGCTCACAGTCTGACAAAATCACTTTAACGAATTTGTTGCATCAAAGTAGGTGCCTATCAATGACTATGACAACGATATGGCCCAATGGGATACCACTCACCCTACTGACTGACAGTCATCAGAGTTCCACGAAGTGTGACATAGTCAAATTTTTAAGCAATCCAGGAAGGAAAAAATAAGGGTGAAGTGTAAAGAAGAATAGGTAAGATGCACGAGTTGGCAAACTGTGAGAGAAGGGGTTGGTTTATGCCCAAGTGCCTTAACTTCTTAATGTAAAAAGCCAGACGAAATAATCTTCTAGAAGTCGCTAAGACATGGGAAGACCAGGATAGGTCAGAAGAAAGAATTAATCCAAGATACTCAACTCCAGACTTGATTTCTATATCAGTGTCAACAATTTTGCAACAGTCACAGGAACTAACAGCTTCATTTAACTTTCTTTTACATCGGGAACTGAAATCAACAGTCTGATATTTGGAAGGAGTTAGTTTAAGACCATTAGACGAAGGCCATTTGCTGACTCCTGATAGAAAGCTGGTGCGTCGGTGGCACAGTGGTTAGGACTCTCGCCGACCATGCACATGGTCCGAGGTTCGAGCCCACGCCGGCGCACACCTGATATCTATGGTCGGCCTGCGAAATTTGGGCTACCGATATCCATGGTGAAAATTCCATACTTGTACCAAAAATAGTGTGGAATCAAGCTGTAATAAAAAAAAATCTTAGTGCACTCTGGCTGGGAGTTAACAGACATTGAAATAGTTAGATCGTCTGCATACTTAACAAAGTTCATTTCATCAGAGTTAAGCAAGTCATGCAAAAAGATAGAAAAGAGAGAAGGAGAAGGAACAGCGCCTTGAGGGACACCAGCCTCAGTAAGCAATGAATTGGACGACTTCCCCTGACATACAGTGTACTGCTTTCTTCCTGAGAAATAAGAATGCGGTCATTTGACAACCCAACACTCAGTTTGGATTTCGGTAAGCTTGTTCAGCAAAATATCCGTAGGTACTAAGTCGAAAGCAGATGTGTAATCTAGGAAGGTGCAGTGAACAAATTTAGCCCCCTTGTCTAAGCTGGAGACAATGTTATGGTACAAGACTGCAACTGCATCTAAAGTACTTCTACTTTGTTTATAAGCGAATTGTTTGGGATCGTTAAAGGCTTTAAGTGAAGGCTGAAGATTAAGTAAGAGTAACTTTTCCATAGCTTTTAGAAAAGGAGACGTAATAGCAATACGTCTAAATTCAAAACATGTTCCAGCAGATGACTTAAGTATAGGTACAATTTTGATGTCCTTCCAAAAGGCTGGCACGACATTTCTGGAAAAAGATTCGTTAAATATGTCCATGAGAGGATAACATAGGATGTCAGAACATTTTTTAAGAATAACACTAGGCAAACCATCTGGGCCCAGATTACAAGAAAGGTTCAGAGACTGGAGACATTTTTGAACATCATTTTTATTGAAACCAGGGAAGCAGGCATTTGTGGGAGAATATATGAAAGACCTATTTAGTGTGCAAACATCAAAGGAATACGGAATACTATTCATCTGCTTAACCTCGCAAGATTACTAGCTTGCTAGTTTTCTAGCCGGTCCCAAGCCCGGATAAAGAGGGAGGGTTGGGGCGTGGTGCTAGCAACTCCACCCCCGTAAAACAACCAAATCGCTACAGAAACTTCAACGAATAAATATATTAAAAATTCTAAAAACATAAACAATAGCCTTACTTTTCGCTGGAATCGGGGAAGTGAAATGACGCAGGCTGGTGAAAGCCTTCGGGAAGCCAGTCAGCCGATGTGCCTTCTTTCGATGAAAGCAAAAGTAAGGATGGGTACCTGGAATGTTCGTACAATGTACGAAACTGGAAAGGCTGCCCAGATAGCCACTGAAATGAGAAGGTACAGAATAGAAGTGTTGGGAATCTGCGAAAGCAGATGGAACGGAACTGGAAGGTGCCAACTACCTACTGGAGAGACAGTAATCTATTCCGGCCACCCGGAGGACAACCACGAGCACACCGAGGGAGTGGCCATCATGATGTCACCAACAGCAGCCAAAGCTCTCATGCAGTGGGAACCAATCT